CACTCACACACTCATACACACACACTCACACACACACACTCACACACACACACACTCACACACACTCACACACACACACACACGCGCCTTTTAACAAACCGCCATCGGAGGGGGGGTCTCCGGTGACGCGGCCCGCGGGACTCGGGGTGCCCGGGGTGACCCCTGTGCCCCGTGCGGAGGGCGCCGGGCGCGGACCGTCGGGGTGGCGCCCCCAGAGGGGTGTGTGCGTTCTGGGGGGCGTGGGGCGGGAGGGTCGTGTGTGAAGGACTGTGGGGCACGGGGGCTGGGGGACTGAGTGCAGGGTCTGTGTCGCTGTGGGGGTGTCTGTGGGGTCCGGTGGGGCTGTGTCTCGGGGATGTGTCTCCATGGACGGTGCGAGCTGCGGGGAGGCCAAGCTCCTGGTGGCCGGTGTGGGCTGTGCGGGGGGGGGGGGGTGGCCGGTGTGGGCTGTGCGGGGGGGGGTGGCCGGTGTGGGCTGTGCCGGGGGCGGTGGTGGCCGGTGTGAGCTGTGCGGGGGGGGGGGGGGGGGGGGGGGAGGGTGGCCGGTGTGGGCTGTGCGGGGGGGGGGGTGGCCGGTGTGGGCTGTGCGGGGGGGGGGGTGGCCGGTGTGGGCTGTGCGGGGGGGGGGTGGCCGGTGTGGGCTGTGCGGGGGGGCGGTGGTGGCCGGTGTGGGCTGTGCGGGGGGGGGGGGTGGCCGGTGTGAGCTGTGCGGGGGGGGGGGGTGGCCGGTGTGAGCTGTGCGGGGGGGGGGTGGCCGGTGTGGGCTGTGCGGGGGGGGGGTGGCCGGTGTGGGCTGTGCGGGGGGGCGGTGGTGGCCGGTGTGGGCTGTGCGGGGGGGGGGTGGCCGGTGTGGGCTGTGCGGGGGGGCGGTGGTGGCCGGTGTGGGCTGTGCGGGGGGGGGGTGGCCGGTGTGAGCTGTGCGGGGGGGGGGGGGTGGCCGGTGTGGGCTGTGCGGGGGGGGGGTGGCCGGTGTGAGCTGTGCGGGGGGGGGGGTGGCCGGTGTGAGCTGTGCGGGGGGGGGGGTGGCCGGTGTGGGCTGTGCGGGGGGGGGGGGTGGCCGGTGTGAGCTGTGCGGGGGGGGGGGGTGTGTGGCCGGTGTGGGCTGTGCGGGGGGGGGGTGGCCGGTGTGGGCTGTGCGGGGGGGGGGGTGGCCGGTGTGGGCTGTGCGGGGGGGGGGGTGGCCGGTGTGGGCTGTGCGGGGGGGGGGGGGGGTTGGCGGTGCTGCTGTGCGGGGGGTGGGGGTGGGGGTAAGGGGGAGGGAAGAGACGCGGCGGCGCAGGGCGGGCGCCTCGGGGGCGGGGCCTGGGGGCCCGGGGGAGTGGGGGCGCCCGCCGCGGTGCGCACCCAGAGGCGCGGCTGCGGGCTCGCACGTTGCGCTGGGCTCGCGCGTGTTTTGCTCCTGCAGGGGGTGTGCATGGTACCCACAGGCTGGGGGGGGGGGCACCCCTTCCCCTCAACCCCGGGGCCCAGCCTCATCCCGCCCCTCGTTTCTGCTGAACTCTCTGTCCTGGGACCCCGGCCCCTGCTCCCGCTCCCACCGAGGAGCCCACTCAGGCCGCGGGAGGCTGGGCGAGGCCGCGACTGCCCAGCCAGACCCGGGGGCGGGGATGTCAGGCTGTGTGGCTTGCTGGTATCAGTTAAGGTGACCTTAGTATCAGTGCGATAGGTGGGAAAGCTCTGTGTGTGTGTGCGGGTGTGTGTATACACGTGCACGCTTGCCCACGGAGGGAGACGTGTGTGCCACCTAATGACATGTGTGCCCTCTCTGCTGTGGATGTGGGTCTGGGCTGCTGGCTCGGAGGAAGTATGTTTTTGAGGGGCGTGTGCACACCTGTCTGCCCTGCTGTGTAAGTGTGTGTTAGTAGGACCTGCCCTCGTCCCCCACTCCCGGGTGTCAGGGATCAGGCGCTGCCCCCACCTACAGTGGAGGTCCCTCCGTGTTGCCTGCCAATTCCCTTGTTCATCTATAGACTCACATACGGCCTCAGCGGGCTCTGAGGCATGGATAGGCTATAATACTAAGGTGAACAACCCCAGGAGAACCCCTCCAGCTGTCCTTTGTCCCAGGCACAAGCGTCCACACAGCCAGGGGTCACTGTGCTTGGCTCAGAAAAACCTGGGAGGTAAGGAGTGTCATCCTAGCCTTTCCCTGGGGAGATTTCTGAGGCTCCCAGGGGTAGCACTTAAGCCCACTTCATCTATGGAATAATAGTAATAGTAATAATAATATAGTACTGACTATTTCCTGATACCTATCATGTAACAGGGCCATACTACCCTATTTGTATTTTAATTTCTTCCTGCTGAAAGGAGTTCTTTCAGAAGAGAAAGTAAACAAAGATAAAAATTATGAACAACAAATACGTAACTATCAACAAGTGAATCTAAAAACCAAGGAAATTAAAAAAAAAATCTGATGAACAATAGTAACTGTTGAATATAATAGAATCAGAGGTATGGAAGGGGAGTGAACTGACGATTCTTGGGGAAAAGGGGAGAGGGGGGCGTGGGAAGAGACTGAACATAAACTGTGCACCTATGGATGAGGACAATGGGGATTGGGGAAAGGGCAGAGGGTGGGGTGGAAACCTGGTGGAGGAGAGCAATGGTGGGGGAGGAGGGGGGAGGAACATTTGTAATAATATGAACTATAAAAACTTATTTTAAAAAAAAAATCCTGAGATTTGTAGCCTGTGAGGCAGCTGAGGGGCAGGAAGGTTGAAGTCCTTGCCCAGGGCTACCCAGTCGGGATATTTGACAAATGCAACCCCCAATTACATTCTTATCAACACAGGATTATGGCCTTTTACTCCCACTTGAGTAACCCTACCCAGTAACCCTCCCTCCCAAGGCGGCCCATGCCCTAGGGTAGTGGTTGGCAAACTGTGGCTCGAGAGCCACATGGGGCTCTTTGACCCCTTGAGTGTGGCTCTTCCATAAAATACCATGGCCTGGGCAAGTCTATTTTGAAAAAGTGGCGTTAGAAGAAGTTTAAGTTTAAAAATTTGGCTCTCGTGGAAACCAGTTGGCTCAGTGGTAGAGCGTCAGTCTGCGGACTGAAAGGTCCCAGGTTCAATTCCAGTCAGGGGCATGTACATTGGTTGCGGGCACATCCCCGGTGGGGGGTGTGCAAGTGGCAGTTGGTCGATGTATCTCTCTCATAGACATTTCTAGCTATCTCTCTCCCTTCCTCTCTGTAAAAAATCAATAAAATGTATTATAAAAAAAATTGGCTCTCAAAAGAAATTTCAATCGTTGTACTGTTATATTTGGCTCTGTTGCCTAATGAGTTTGCCGACTACAGCTCTAGGGTGAGTGTCAATCTGAGAATTGACTCTGAGTGATGTTCCCCCATGAATCACGCCTCAAACTGTTGGGAAGGTCTTTAATGAGGCCCAAGTCTCTCCCTCTGACACCCTACACCCTACACTCCTTGTCCCACCGCTGGACTCTGAATGGATGGGCCGATGGGTTCTAGAGAGAAGCTTCTGCCTGACATGCCATTGGCTGTGCCTCACCCACCGCACACGGACACACAGCTGCGAGGCTGGTGACTTCCTCCACCTTTGAAGGAACACTTGGGGCTTGGGAGAGCCCTCCCGGCCTGCCTCGCTTCTTCCCGAGGGAACGCCTGAGCTGGCAGCAGCTGATTCCGTGTGTGGACTCTGACTCTGGCGGCTCTCAGGCCACAGGTAGCCGTCAAGTTCACAACTGAAAATAAAAGAAACCCACTCATCTGTTTTGAAACACTCAAGCAATAAATGAGTGTACAATCTCTATTTTAAAACATTGAAACAAAAAATTCACTTGCCTCCTGGCCAAATCCCTTCCGCTTCTAGAAGTTTCCCAGGAGGCCCGGAGCTGCTGTGCAGCCAGTTACACCTGAGTCCTTCCAGACTTTTTCCCGAGCTTTTCCACAGCGATCGCTGTGCAGATATGGAGGGACAGGGCAGTGTACGCTGCTGGGCTTTTACGTACACGAGATCCTCTTGGGTGTGTTGTTCGGCTGCTCGCTTTGTTCACTTGACAATATATCCATTCCAGAGGACACAGTCATACGGACCTACCTCATTCATTCATCACCTTTCCTCCCTCCTTCCCCATGCCTCCCACCCCTTTCTCCCTTTCCTAGGTATCAGCTCCCTACCCTATAATACTCAATAGATACCATGCAAAGTCTCTCTTTCTTCCTCTCAATAACTACCAAATCCACCTTTCCACTTTACTTTTGGTTTTCCCTTAATAATTCACTCAGGAGACCTTTTCAATTAGCAATAAAGCGTTGCCTCAGTCTTTCAAACGGGTACAATTGCCCCGTGTGTGGATGAAATATAATTTATGGGACCAGTCCCCTAATGATGGACATTCCGTTGTTTCTGTCACATGGGCTACAGGGATAGCCTTCTACTTGTGTAATCACATTGGTGTGGAGAGAGCCTCGGGTCCTTTGTCAGAACTGTATGGTATTGCACTCTGGCTATCGCCTGATGCTTTAACCAGCCCCCTACTACTGGACTTGTGGGGGTGTTTTCTGCCTTTTGCTCTTAGACACAAGGCTCCGATTAGTTTACATATTTAATTTTGGGGTATTTAAAAAATATTTTTATTGACTTCAGAGAGGAAGAGTGAGGGTGAGACAGATAGAAACGTCAATAATGAGAGAGAATCATTGATCAGTTGCCTCCTGCACGTTCCATACTTGGGAACAAGCCCGGAACCCAGGCATGTCCCCTTGCCTGGAATTGAACCCGGGACCCTTCAGTCTGCAGGCCGACGCTCTATCCACTGAGCCAAACCAGCGAGGGCTAATTTGGGGGTATTTTAATTGGAGGATAAATCCCAGAAGTGAGGCACCCAGTCAAGGGTGCATGCCGTTGTCGGTGTGGTGCTCACTGCCAAGCCACCCTCTGTGTGAGCTGTGCCAGTGTGCCCTCCCATCAGCAGGGAGGACAGGAGCCCCAGACAGCCTCACTTTGGTGCCTTTCTCTCCTTCTTCCTAGATGCCAGCCACTCCCCTGGCAGCTTCTACGGGCCCTCCCTCCAGGAAGAAGCAACTGGAGTTGGATGATGACCTGGACGCTCAGTGTCCCCCCCGGAAGCAAGCTCGAAGTGGACCCCAGCCCAGGCTGCCCCCCGGCCCTCTGCCCCTAAGCCCACCCCCTGCGCCAGCCCGTGCCCCCGCTGTGACCACTCCCTCCCGGCTGGGGCCCTATGTCCTCCTGGAACCCGAGGAGGGCGGCCGGGCCTACCGGGCCCTGCACTGCCCCACAGGCACCGAATACACCTGCCAGGTAATGCCCCCAGGGGCCCCCCTCCAGCATCACCGGGGCTGGAAAGAGCCAGGCTGCAGAGGGTTGTCAGGCCTGAGGGACCCTTCTGTTCACGTAGTCCTGTGTTTACTGGGAAGGCAGCCAGTGAGCCCCCAACTCTCTGTCAAGCCCCAGGCTGGACTGTGACCAGGGAGGTAAACCAGATGGTCCCAGCCCTGGGAATTCATAGCTTAGGTCCCCATAATGGATACAGGTTGCAGGGGTGGAGCTTAGGGACCAGGAGAGCAGAGGGGAAGAGCCTCTAAGGTACTCAAGGGGGTGTCAGAAAAGACTGAGGGGCTAGCTGGGGAGAAGCGGGAAGAGGGAGGCCAGGCGGGAACAGCTGTGCAGAGAGGCCTGGAGGGGAGAGAGCATGGCGCGTCAGGGCATTCACAGGGCTTCACAACGGCCGTGTGGAGTGGGTGTGCAGTCCGGGGCAGGAGAGGGGCTGACGGCCACTGGGCATGACCACTAGAGAGGACCTCCTGTGGGAAACCACGGAAGACACTGGCACAAGACAAGGATGAGATATGCCAAAGTAGGTTTGGCTCAGTGGTAGAGCGTCGGTCTGTGGACTGAAAGGTCCCAGGTTCAATTCCGGTCGGGGGCATGTACATTGGTTGCGGGCACATCCCCAGTAGGGGGTGTGCAAGAGGCAGCTGGTCGATGTTTCTGACTTTCTGTCCCTCTCCCTTCCTCTGTGTAAAAAATCAATAAAATACATATTTAGAGAGAGAGAGAGAGAGAGAGAGAGAGAAGGATGAGATAGAGTAGGCATCAGAACTACTGGGATCCTGGAGATCGGGGGACCTAACCGATGGCCATTTTACAAATACAGACTGAGGTCGGGAGAGGAGAAGGGTCATGCATGAATCCACATAACATTGGGCCTGGCTTCCTAGGGCAAGGAACCCTTTGCAGGGTTCTAGGCCAAAATAAGGGAACCAGGCAGGACCAAGGCCCCATGAGGGTCAGGCCCACACAAGACATTGGCAGGCCACACCCACAAAGAGATGAGAAGGTATTACACGGGTGCTGTGCACCAGGTCCTGTGCTGCTTGCTCAGTGTGAGCAATAATCTCTTCTCATCGTCACACGATCTGAGGTAGTTACTGTTATCGGGCCCGCTTATAGGTAAAGGACATTGGGGCTCAAAAAGATGCGGTTCCTTGCCCCATCACAGAGCCAGGCGGAGTCAGAGGTGAGAGTGGGCCCCGGCAGGCTGAGCTAGGAGCCACGTGGCCCGGGCTGGGACACGTGGTTCGGACACAAGCAGAGCAGATCTGCTCCCGGTGGGCAGAGGCGTGGGCGGTAGGGGAGACCCGGGCACATACTAATGAGGGAGGGGAGAAGGGGGCCTGGGTCCCCTTGGGGAGGAACAAGAAGCAAAAGGACCTAAGGCTCCCTCGGGGAGCAGCAGCAGCTGGCTCCAGCTCCTGCGGATGTGGGTGCCGTGGACAGGGAAACGGATCTGGACAAGTGGTCCGGCCATCAGCTTTATCGCGGCTCCGAGCTGCCTGATGCAGCTCCCCGGTGCTCTGCCCCAGATACTCTAAGGGGCCCCCGAACCCTGGGTCCCCTTCCGGCAGCACCAGGGTTCCTTCCTGTTCCCAACGGGGAGGAAGTCCTCCCTGAGGGGAATGACCAACGTGAGCTGGAACCAGAGCTGCAGGCTTTCCTACGGCCCCGATAGTTCAGGAGCATTGAGAAGCAGGAGCTGTGGGGGCTGGCCTGTCATTGGCTGTATCCTGTCACACGCCTGGGGTCTTTCGGTCAGGGTGTGCAGAAAGAGCAACAACCTGCCTTTGTAGATTGTTGCTGAATTCATTAATTGACTTTTTACAGAGAGGAAGAGAGAGGGATAGAGAGTTAGACACATCGATGAGAGAGAATCATCGATCAGCTGCCTCTGGTTGCGGGCACATGTACCTACTGGGGCTGTGTCTGCAACCAAGGTACATGCCCTTGACCGGAATCGAACCCAGGATCTTTCAGTCCGTAGGTGGTTTCTCTATCCACTGAGCCAAACCCGTTTCAGCTTAATTCATGAATGGAACAAACCTGTGAGCCACTGCGAGCACCATGCTGGGGCTAAGAAACAAAGTTCTGCCGAAACCGGTTTGGCTCAGTGGATAGAGTGTCGGCCTGCGGACTGAAAGGTCCCGGGTTCCATTACGGTCAAGGGCATGTACCTTGGTTGCGGGCACATCCCCAGTGGGGGGGTGTGCAGGAGGCGGCTGATGGCTGATTCTCTCTCATGGATGTTTCTGACTCTCTATCCCTCTCTCTTCCTCTCTGTAAAAACAAACAAACAAACAAACAAAAACAACAACAATAAAATATATTTAAAAAAGAAAAGAAACAAAGTTCTGCCGATGTTTCCTCCGGCTGGGTTCTGTGAGGACTTGGGCAGCAAACAAGGGACTAGGGATCCTTTATGCCAGGTGATCCTACGTGCTATGGAGCCGGCAGAGAGGGGAGCGGGGACAGCGGACAGTCTCCGAGGTCCCCCCGGGCTGTCCCCCCTCCGAGGTCCCCCCGGGCCCCCCTGCGCTCACGCCATGCCCCGCCCACAGGTGTACCCGGCCTGCGAGGGCCCGAAGGTGCTGGCGCCCTACGCGCGGCTGCCCCCGCACCGGCACGTGGCGCGGCCCGCGGCGGTGCTGGCGGGCGCCCGCCGCCTCTACGCCTTCTTCCCGCGGCCCCGCGGCCACCTGCACGGCCTGGTGCGCCGCCGCCGCCGCCTGCCCGAGCCCCAGGCCGCCGCGCTCTTCGGCCAGATGGCGGCCGCCGTGGCGCACTGCCACCGGCACGGCCTGGTCCTGCGGGACCTCAAGCTGCGGCGCTTCGTCTTCACCGACCGCGAGAGGTGAGTGGGGCCCGGAGAGGCCGCCCGAGGGGGCCCTGCCGGGGAGACCGAGCTCAGGGAGGCGGAGTGGCCGCAAGGCCCAGCCCCACGGCCCGGCTCCGGGGAGGAGGGGGCCCGGTCCTGGGGGAAGCCCCTCGGGGTGGAGCACGCACTGCCTTTGTGGTTAAGCCTCACCGGAGCGTGTTTTTCCATCAGTTTTTAGAGAGGGCTGGCGGGGCTGTTGTTTAAAGCAGTAGTTGCAAATGGTGGGCCACACACATATTTTTTTGTTCACTTGTTTTCAATTGAAATAGGTTGCCAACATTGAAAAAAAAAACCAAAACGGGACATTTTTGTTGAAATATGATTTCTGGCCTCTCTTGGAGAAAAATGAGAACGAGGGGCCCCCTTGGGAAGTGTGTGCGCAGTTCCTAGCGCTGACGGCGGTGCACGGGAGCGGGTTCCCGTCCCAGCCCCGCGCCCTGTGGGGAGAAATGGTGTCTTTCTCACAGGGGGTGTGCGGTTGGAATAAGGTGCGTCAGGTACCCAGCTCAGCTCAGGGCCAGGTGCCCGGCGGACAGTTTGTAAATACTGACTGTACTGTCACCTTTTCTAGGCAGGGCTTGTGCTGAGATGGTTAGCCCAGACCCACTTCCCGTTTCTCTCATTTTATTACCTGCCTGGACCCTAAGTGCGCCTCTGTTTTATGAGAAAGCTCAATGCCCTCCGCCCTCTCCCGCAGAGACTGCTGGGAAATGTGTTCCTCTCAGAGGCCCACTTTCAAATCCAATTGCTCTGTGACCCCGAGCAATGGCTTAACCTCTCTGGGCCTGGGCCTCCTCATCAGCACAGTGAGCTCAGGGACCCAGCCAGCAGGACTGTCTGGTGCCTGCCAGGCCCTGGGGAAGCCGGTGACCAGCAGGGAGACAGGCGGGGTGGGGCGTGGGCCTCCCAGCAGGAGCTGACCGCTGTCCCATCCCTGCACAGGACGCAGCTGGCGCTGGAGAACCTGGAGGACGCCTGCGTGCTGACCGGGCCGGACGACTCGCTGTGCGACAAGCACGCGTGCCCGGCCTACGTGGGACCCGAGATCCTCAGCTCCCGCGCCTCCTACTCGGGCAAGGCGGCGGACGTCTGGAGCCTGGGCGTGGCGCTCTTCACCATGCTGGCCGGCCGCTACCCCTTCCAGGACTCCGAGCCCGCCCTGCTGTTCCGCAAGATCCGCCGGGGGACCTACGCGCTGCCCCGGGGCCTCTCCGCCCCCGCCCGCTGCCTGCTCCGCTGCCTGCTCCGCCGCGACCCAGCGGAGCGTCTCCCGGCCTCGGCGATCCTGCTGCACCCCTGGCTGCGAGGGAACCTGGCCCCCCCAGGCACACCCCGAGCTCCCCTCCGGGAGGCTGACCAGGTGGTCCCCGAAGCGCCGGGGCTGGAGGAGGTTGAGGCAGAGGAGGGAGAAAGGGAAGAGGGCCTGTATGGCTAGGACCACCCACCCGACGCTCAGCTGTGAACTGTGGGTGGAGTCTGGGGCGTCCCGGAGCTCTCCCCTGCCTCTCTGAACTGAGATAAACCCTACGTGCCTTCTAGGAGGGAGCAAAGGGGAGGCGTGCTGCCGTGTGCTGTAGTCACGCCCGTGTGGCTCGCACGCCTGTGCACACGGGCTGGTGCACTCCCCACGTCTTTGTGGGGAGCTCGCTGTGTGCCTTGCCACAGGTGCTGAGAACACAGCTGTGAACACGAGACAGCACTCCTGCCCACGGGGCTGTCCGTCCTCCTCCAGCCCACAGGCCAGAGTCTGCCCTGCCCTGGGCGCAGCAGTGCAGGCGACGGCGTCCACGCGTGCTGGCCCCCGGCACCGCCGTCACGGACAGTCCCTTCCAGACCCACCCAGCGGCCTTCGTATGCCGCGCCTCTGAGGGAAAGGGCAGCGTCCGTGCCAAAGCCTCAGGCCCCTTCCCCGCGCTCCGGCCCGGAGCCCAGGCCGCGCTGCGAACTCCGCCCCCGGGCTGTGTCCTCTGGGCCAGAGGAGCCTCTGTCCAGGCCGGAGCCACGGATCTGGGCGGGAAGACCGAGAGTCCAAACCTTGAGGCGGGTCCTCCTCCAGCTCAAGCAGTGGTTTGGAATGAGGGTCCAGGCCTGCCCGTCTCAGCAGCCCGTGACCTGAGCTGCTGCCTGGAGGTGGGACGGGATTAGGTGGGGTCTGCCCCTGGCCTCCTGGAGAGGCCTAAGTCCAGTTCTGGGGACTCTTGGGGTCCCGAACCCCACATCAGCATAGGTTTATATAGGTTTGGGGTGCTCTGAGTATATATTTTTACCTTGTGCCTAATAAAGGAGCTATGGGATACGTTTATCTCTCCCAGGCAGTTCTTCTGGCCTCTCCTCAGTTTTCCCAAACCTCCCTCCCGTTCTTCTGGAGGCTGTGGGTCTCACTGGGGGTCAGTTTTGGCTGCAAGTACCTGAAGCCCTGAGTCAAAGTAGCTTCAAGCAGAAGGAAATGTGTTTCACACACGAAGTCCACAGCGGGTGGTTTCAGGGCTGGCTGATGCAGGAAGGCTCCGGCCTCTCTGCCTCTTCACTCTATTGTCCCTGCTGTCAGAGACATCTGTGCCCTGAGGAAGGAGGGTGGCGCTGGCCGCTGTCGCACTGGAGAACTTGGTGCCTGGAGTGAAGCTGCGTGGTGTGTCTGGGCCTCAGTCTGTTCCCTTCCTCTCTGAGTGGCTGACCTGGAGCCTCTTCTGGCACTTGTCAGAGCAGGCCTGCCGCCCCTGCGCCACTGCAGCCCTCATTAAAAATGCAGATTCTTGCTGGGATGGTGTTGCTCAATGGTTGAGGTTGTCCTATTATGAATTAGGAGGTCAAGGTTCAATTCCCAGTCAGGGCACATGCCCAGGTTTGGGGCTCAATCATTCCCAGTGCGGGGTGAGCAGGAGACAGTTGATCAATGATTCTCTCTCATCATTGATGTTTTTTTGTTTTTTTAAAAATATATTTTATTGATGTTTTTACAGAAAGGAAGGGAGAGAGATACAGAGTTAGAAACATCGATGAGAGAGAGTCACCAGCTGCCTCTTGCACACCCCCTACTGGGGATATGCCTGCAACCAAAGTATATGCCCTTGACCGGAATCGAACCCGGGACCCTTCAGTCCCCAAGCCGACGCTCTATCCATTGAGCCAAACCGGTCCCAGCTGATGTTTTTTTTGTTGTTGTTTTTTCTCTCTCTCCCTTCCTCTCTGAAATAAATATACATTTTTAAAAATTAAAAAAAATGCAGATGTGGGCTGTGCGGGAGGGGTTGTCTGCCTCCTAACAAGCCTCTTCGCGGTGGCTGCGCATTCTAGTTGGAGAGCCTCTGTATGGGGAGAAATCCTGATGACTTAGGGACTCAGCTCATTCCAGCTCTTTTTAAAAATATATGTATTTTATTGATTTTTTACAGAGAGGAAGGGAGAGGGATAGAGTTAGAAGCATTGATGGGACAGAAACATCAATCAGCTGCCTCTTGCATATGCCCAAAACCAAGGTCCATGCCCTTGCCCGGAATCGAACCTGGGACCTTTCAGTCCACAGGCTAATGCTCTATCCACTGAGCTAAACTGGTTAGGGCTCATTTCAGCTCCCTCTTCAGTGTTTCCCAAACTTCTCTCATGATGAGAATCACCTGGTGGAGTTGTTAAACTACAAATTCCTGAATCCCAACTAAGAAGTGCTAAACTGGGATTTTTTGGAACACATAGCTAAAATTGTATACTTAACTAGTGCTCTAAGCTTAGTTTTGTGTTTGACTCCAGCTCAGATGTAAAATGGGTATTAATTCTACCTGCCTGTGAGGCTAGGATGGGGTCACAGGTGTGGGGGGGCTTTATCAGAGGTCAAACTCTGAGCCACTGTGGCGAGCCGGCCCCGCCATGGCATGCTCAGCCCCAGGGTTCCTTATGTGCCGTGCCAGCTCAGCCAGGTTCGGTGAGCCCGAGTGGGGGCGGTGAAGGATTGAGAAAAGACAGACAGGAGAATGAAAGCTGGGTCTCGGTGGGACGCTGTCCTCTAATGGAGAGACAGCGCCAGCGCCACGGACTACAAGCCATGTCTTTGTTTTACAGCCAGGTTCCACGAGGCAAAGTAAGGGTGTGGTCAAGATGTTTACAACATTCTTGGGGGTTCGATCCCACTCAATTACATGCACCTGAACTCCATCAAGCCCACATCACTCAGGCACGTGGGGCCACGTGTTCGGACCATAGGTTCAAGCTTACAACTACAGCTGTTGGCTATAATTGTGCTGGGAGGGCTCTGCCCCCAAGCTGGGACTTGCACGTGGCCATGAGAGGACTGTGCCCTCTCATCAGTCCGAGGCTTGAACCTGTGCAAACACTGTAGCCGCTCCCCACAAGCCACCACGACTGTTGTATCAGCTTTATGGGGAGAGACCTATAGCCCTCATCCTCTCATCATTCTCTCCCCGCTTCCCTGCCTTTGTGGTTCTTCATAACACTTAGCCCCACCTGGCAGATCATTCTAGATGTTTGTTTGTGTTAGTTTCATACTACATTTTGTTTGCTATTGTCCCCTCAGCTCCTAGACCAGTGCCTGACACACACAGCTGCTCAGTGTCTGCTGAATGACGGAATGGAAGCGGTTACTGTGTGGATCCCACACGCCTAGAGCAAAGCCAGCACACGCATTAGGAATGGTTAATGTTTACTGTGAGCACATACTAGTACCACGTGCCAGGCACGGTTTTACATACATTATCTCATTGGACATGTGGTAGCCAGCCTTGTCCTTGGTCCTTGAGACCTGGAGTGCATGCCCTTGTGTAGTTCCCTCCCAGCCTGAGCTGGGCTGACCTGTGTAACCAATAGGAGGCTGTGAACATGATGAAGTATGACTTTGCATGTTAGGCCATAAAATATTCTGTGGCTTCTGCCTTGATGCCTATATCATCTGCTCTGGGGAAAGCCAGCTGCCAGGGGACTAGGACACGCAAGTCACCCATGGAGAGGTGCACGTGGTGAGGGACGCAGCATCCTGCACTAACCAGCTCCAGCCAGGCATATGAGCGGGCTTTCCTGAAAGTTCATCCTCCTGCCCATCAAGCTTTCAGATGAATGAGGCCCCAGCTAAACTCCTAACTACAACTTCATGAGAGACCTTTAGTCAAAGGACATCAGAAACTGATCCCAAATTTATTTTATTTTATTTTAAAACATATATTTTATTGATTTTTTTTTTTCCAGAGAGGAAGGGAGAGGGAGAAAGAGTTCGAAACATCAATGAGAGAGAAACATCAATCAGCTGCCTCCTGCACACCCCACACTGGGGATGTGCCCACAACCAAGGTATATGCCCTTGACGGGAATTGAACCTGAAACCCTTGAGCCCGCAGGTCGACACTCCATCCACTGAGCCAAACCAGTTAGGACTGCTCCCAAATTCTTAACTTATAGAAACTGTTGTTTTTAAGCTGCTAAGTTTGGGGATGATTTGTTACAATCAATAACCAATAACTGATACAGATCCTCACAGCGACCCTAGGAGGGAGGGACCATCATGACCACCATTGTACAGAGGGAAAAACTGAGGCCCCGAGAGGGGGCTGTCCTGTCCGGAGTCACTCAGATAATGAACTGGGGGGCTGCACCCAGGCTTGAATGCCTGTAGTTCACCCACTGGGATGAAGGGTCTTTGTCCTTGAAGGACCAAGGCTGAGACCAGAACGCCTGAAAGACCGCATCTCCCCTGAGACAGATTTGTGCAGGTCACCTCAGGGCTGCAGGGAACATGGCCATCGTACGGCAGCAGGGTCAGCAGGAGAAATAAGGCAATGGGAGTAAAACCCAGCAGAAACAGACATCCAGCACTCAGGCAGCATATTATCTATCATACACAAATTATAAAACAAAAAACGTTAACTAAAAAAAAAAAGGTTTACTCACAGGGCTTAAATAAACAACAGACTTGATACTATGACCAGGGATTATATTAAGTGAAAACCTAACAGATCCTCTAAAATAAAAGGCACAATAACTAAAATTAAAAACCCAACAGATTAGATGTGGCTAAAAAGGACATTGCTGAGATAGACGTCAGACATCAATCACAGATTCAAGTTTTCGCACATAGACACTTCCTAGTGAAAATGCAAAAAGAGCAAAGATAAAATCTTAAAGGAGTCAGAAAGGAAAACCAGATCATTTTCACAAGAACAGCCACACAACAGGGATGATCGTCCAAAAACAGTATGCTATGCGAAAGAAGGGCAGTCACAAAGGACCATATAAGGTAAGATTTAATTAGTGTAAAATGTCCATAATAGGAAAAATCTATAGAGAGCAAAAGTAGATTGGTACTGAGGGCTGGAGGGTGGCAGATGGGGAGTGTCTGCAATTGGGTACCATTTTTTTTAAGGGGTGATAAAAATGTTCTAAAATTGGATTGTGGTGATGGTCGCACAACTTTTAAATGTACTTGAAACCTCCGGGACCGGTTTGGCTCAATGGATAGAGCGTCAGCTTGGGGACTGAAAGGTCCCGAGTTCGATTCTGGTCAAGGGCATGTACTTTGATTGCGGGCACATCCCCAGTAGGGGGTGTGCAAGAGGCAGCTGATCAATGACTCTCTCTCATCGATGTTTCTAACTCTATCTCTCTCCCTTCCTCTCTGTACAAAATCAATAAAATAATAAATAAATAAATAAATGTACTTGAAACCATTAAATTATACACTTTAGATAGGTGGATCTTCTGGTATATAAATTACATTGCAGAAAAGAAAAACAAAATAAAATAAGTTACATAGCAATAAAACTGTTAAACAATAACAACAGCAACAACAAAACACCTCACAGCAGTCAGACTAACAGGTGATGTCTCAATAGCAAACATGGAAGCTAGAAGACAACGGAATGCTGTCTTCAAGGTGTTGGAATGCTACTGGAATTCTATATCCAGTGAAAATGTCTCTCAAGAATGAGGTCGAGCCCTCGCTGGCTTGTTCAGTGGTTAGGGCATTGGCCCACAGACTGAAGGGTCAAGGGCACGTAACTCAGTTGCAGGTTCAATCCCCTGTCATGGTCGGGGCATGTGCAGGATGCAACCAATCCATGTGTCTCTCACATTGATGTTTCTCTCTCTTTGTCTCTGGCCCCCTTTCCACTCTCTAAAAATCAATGGAAAATACGTCCTTAGGTGAGAATTCACAACAACAACAACAAAATGAGTTCTAAATAAACATTTTCAAACAAAAACCAAGAAAGTTTGTCACCAGGACTCTCCTCAACAGTGGTTCTTAAACTTGGCTTCTCATTATGAACACCAGACAGTGACTTTGGTAAAAAAAACTCCTGACTCCTGGGCTCACCTCCAGCGTTTCTGAGTCAATTGACCTGAGATGTGGTGGGGTTTCAGAATTTTTTTTTAAAGCTCCCCAGGTGACTCAAAAGTCTAGTTGAGAACCTCTTTTTTAAAGGATACATTTCAGGCAAAAGGAAAGTGATCACAGATGAAAGTGATGATTCAATTTATCTATATAAAAGCCTAAGTAACCAGAACGACTGGTCACTATAACACATACTGACCACCAGGAGACAGATGCTCAGTGCAGGAGCTGCCCCTGGTGTTCAGGCTACAGCTAACCTCCTGCAGCCCCTCCCCTGGCCAGCCAACCTCCCAGCATCCCTACTGCCCTGACCCCCATGGCCAGTTGGCCCTGATCTTCCCAATAGGCCCTGATAGCTGGACAGGGCAAAGGACCCCATCCAGGAATTCATTCACAGGCTTCTAGTTAATCCTATATAATAAAGAGGGAATATGCTAATTGACTGCCACACCCTCAGAGATGGTGGCACCCACAGCCACAAGATGGTGGCCCCCAGTCCCGCTGGGGTGGCAGGCACGTGGCATGGCCGGGCCTGCCCCCAGGTGGGTCCTGCTATTCTGTGTGACTGCCTCCGAAGTCCCCCAGCCACCCAGGGCCAGCCTGAGGCGCAGGTAAGCCTCAGATGGCAGCTGCCCAGTCAACGCCCAATGTGCAGGCAAGCCTTGGAATGGTGGCTGCCCAGCCATCCATCGCTGCCCAAGGCTCAGGGAACTAGGGCCGGCCAGGTAGTGGCAGCAGCTGAGGTGTGATTGGGACATTGCCTTCCCCTGACTGCTGGCTCACCTCCTGCCCCTGAGGGCTCCTGGGCTGTGAGAGGGGGCAGGCCAGGCTGAGGACATGAATTTTCATGCATCAGGCCTCTAGTATACTGTAATCCATAAGCACCAGGAACTCGGTAGTGAGCAAAGCAGACAAAAGTCTCTGCCTTCTAGAAGAGGGAAACAGCCAAAAAACAAGATAAATAAATAAAATATGTGTTACCTAGTGATGCATGCTTTGGAGGGTATGGGGAAATGAAGCCAGGAAAGAGGCTATGAAATGCTCTATGTAGGTGTGTATATGGAATTTTAGGTAGAGTGGACAGGGAAAACTTTCAGGTAAAGATTGAAATGAAGGGAGAGAGCAAGCCATGAAGATATTTGGGTTATGGCAAGTGCAAAGGCCCTGAGGGGCATGTATAGTCTGCCTTTTCTCTGAACCTAGAGGCCACTGGGGCTTGAATGCAGTGAGCCAGGTGGGAGAAGGCAAAGGAGAGGAAGCACTTTACAGGCTTTTATTTTTATTTTTTTAAATTAATTTATTTATTTTTTAAATCAATCTTTATTGTTCATATTATTACAAAGGTTCCTCATTTCTTCCCCCCTCCACCAGGTTCCCACCCCACCCTCCGCCCCCTCCCCCTCCCCCATTGTCCTCATCCATAGGTGCAGTTTATGTTCAGTCTCTTCTTCCCTCCCTTTCCCCAATAGTAAATCCCTTTTCAGATAGTAAATCAGTTACTTAGCATTTTCTCAAATCAATAATACCTCCACATGCCCAATGATACACTTCACACAAAAGACATTTCCCACTAGGTCCACCAGCCTCATCCAGGCCCCACCCAAGGCACTCACAGATCAACACCCCAGTCCTAAACTAACTCAACACATCCAGATCTAAGCCTTCATCACTTGATTCAGCAGACCCTCAAGTTCCCACGAAAGTTTCCAGCCATGTCTGAGAGGCAGCCGTGGGGCAGGGGCAGGCAAGGAGCGAGCTGTTCTGGGCCTGGCTGCTCAGGGCCTGGCCTCTGTTGCTCTGATTCATTCCACAACCAGCTGCTCCGGGTCTGGTCACTGCCGCTCCCGACCTAGTTGCTCTGGACTTGGCTGCTGCTGCTCCAGGCCTGGCCGCTCCCAGCCTGGCAGCCGCTCAGGCTTTTATTTTTAGTGAGCTGGGAACTGTTGGGACAGTTTTGAGGAGTGACATAATTTGATTTACATTATTTTTAAAATATATATATTTTATTGATTTTTTACAGAGAGGAAGGGAGAGGGATAGAGAGTTAGAAACATCGATCAGCTGCCTCCTGCACACCTCCTTCTGGGGATGTGCCCGCAACCAAGGTACATGCCCTTGACTGGAATCGAACCCGGGACCCTTTAGTCCGCAGGCCAACGCTCTGTCCACTGAGCCAAGCCGGTGAGGGCTTGATTGACATTCAAACAGGGCCCTCTGACAGCTGGGGGAGGGGGAGAGGGACTAGGGGCCAAAAAGAAAAGCCAGGAGCCCATGAAGAGGTTGTTGCAAAACACCAGAGGAGAAATGGAGGAACGGCGGGGCGGGCGGAGGTGAGAGGTGACAGAGCTGGGTCTCTCCTGCAGGTGGAGCCCACAGGTCACCTGATGACCTATGGGATAAGGGTGGGAGGAAAATCAAGGCACAGGCTGTCTGGCGGATGCTCAGAGCGTCCAGCCGGTGGCGAGCAAATGCAAACTTAGCGGCCAATACAAGGGAGAGTGACGCCGAGAGGCGGCAGAGCCTGGCTGGCTCAGGGCGGGCTCCGGCTCCGGACTCTCCGTTTTCTCTTCTGCAGACAAAGCAGAGGGGGCCGCGTGCAGGGTTTCCCGGCTGAGGCCCGCCCCGCCCCAGCCCCGCCCTCCAAGAGGCCCCGCCCACCAGCAGAGGCCCCTCCCCTCCCGAGGCCCCGCCCACCCGCGGCCCCCGCCCCTTCCAGAGGCCCCGCCCCGCCCCGCCCCCCGCGGCGCCGCCGGAGAGGGCAGGGTGGGGAGGTCGAGTCCGTCCGGCGGTGCGGGCGGCGTCCCCCGAGACTGCCGAGGGCGGGCGGGCGCGGGGTAGGGTGCCCCGGATCTGGCGACACTCTCCGCCCCACTTCCGGGCCCCACTTTCACTTTCTCTTCCGCCGAAACCGCTCCCCTCCCCCCCTCCTCCTCGAGGGCAGGGAGTTTGGCGGAACTCCCGGCGCCGGGGGGCGCTCGCCCCGCACCCCGGACGGTCCGGTTTCTCCGTCGCCCTCTGCGGCCGGGCTCGGCGCTTCCTGCCCGCACCTCCCGCGCGGGTCCGGCCGGCCCTGCCCCAGCCCCGTCCCCGGCGCGGGAGTGTGATGCCCCGCGCCGGCCGGCGGGGACCGCGAGGCGCGCCGCGGGCTCGGGCCGCGCCAGAGGCCACGGGCCCGCTCCCCGGGGACCCGGGCCAGCCCTTCCCCGAGCCGCGGCCCCGCCGGGGGTGATGGGAGCAGCCGCGCCCGATGGACGAGAAGACCAAGAGAGGTGGGCACAGCCTGGGGAGCTCCGGGGGGGTGGGGGTGCCTGGACCAGCCTCCCCTGCCCAGAAAGGCCAGGAGAGGGCACTGCCCACTGCCCTTCACTTCCTCCCTGGGGCCGGCTACTTCCGGGGGAGCGGGCCATTCATTTACGCGGGGCCTCCGCGTCAGCGCCCAGAGGACAAGCACACCTCCTGGGGGGAGGCAGACCTCGCCGACCTGAACGCCAAGGGCCCTCGCCTCGCCTCTTGCCCTGCACCACCTGCTCAGTCCTCCTGGGCGCCCCCGTGTTCTTGGAACGAAGCCTGGGGCCCTGGATCGCCCACAGGGCCCTGCTGCTGCCTTTGCTGACCTCACAGCCTTCCTCCATCCACTCTCCTGCTCATTCTGCTGGAGCGCCCCCTCCACACACACACACACACACACACACACACACACACACACACACAGCGCCCCCTCCACACCCCTCCACACACACACACCCGCTTCTTTCTGATCTAATCCAACCTTTTCTTGCTCAAGACCCTTGCCCTTACCTTTCTCTCTGCCTGGGACACTCTTCCCCAACTGGGTCTCGAAATATCCAGCTCCTCTCTCAGGTCTCAGCTTCAGTGTCGCCTCCTCCCAGAGGCCTTCTCTAATCTCACCCTGCTTATTTCCTTGCAAGCATGGATCACAATCTGATTTTTTCCGTTATTAAACTTGTCTGTGTAATTACCAGGGTGAAACGTACACGAAGAGAGGGACTGTGTTTAGCTAATTCACTGGCTGAATCCCAGTTTCTGGGACAGTGGCTGGCACACAGCAGGAGCTCAATAAGTGCTTGTCAGATAAATGAATGGAAGTATGGGGGACCTGGGAGTATGAAGGAAAAATAGAACCACATAAGCAGGGAGGGGACTGGGGAGTATCAGAGAAGACTTCCCAGGAAAAGTTTTTTAAAAAAAATTTTGTAATTGATTTCAGAGAGAGGAAGGGAGAGGGAGAGATAGAAACATCAATGATGAAAGATAATTATTTATTGGCTGACTCCTGCATGTCCTCAGTGCTCTGACTGGAAATCGAACCCTGACTTCATGGTTCAGAGGTTGACACTCAACCACTGAGCCATTTTAGCCAGGCAAGAAGGGGATTTTTAAGCTGGGTACTGAAGGATATGTAGGAGTTCACCAGGATGACAGAGGAAGCAGCATGTATTATAAAAGGATCACCTTCTTCTCATTCCCTCATCCCAGTCTTGAAAAATGTGCTAACTGGCTTCCACTGTATTGAATTTTAGCCGAGGAGATGGCCCTGAGACTCAGCCGAGCAGTGGCAGGTGGGGATGAGCGGGTGGCGATGGAGTGTGCCACCTGGCTGGCAGAGCAACGGGTACCCCTGAGAGTGCAACTGAAGCCTGAGAGCTCCCCAACACAGGACATCAGGTGAGGAGGGCATGGCGGGCCAGGGACATAGGGCTCGCTGCACCCTAGTGGGCCATAATATATTCTTGCCAATAGAACAGTTAGTTTTTTCCCTCTTCCACAGAATTTACTTTACACCTATTATACCAAACTGCATTTTGTTTTTATTTTTTAAATATATTTTTATTGATTTCAGAGAGCAAGAGAAAGGGAGATAGAGAAACATCAATGATGACAGATGACATGGATTGGCTGCCTCCTGCACACATCCTACTGGGGATCGAGCCCACAGCCCAGGCATGGGCCCTGACCAGGGGTTGGACCGTGAGCTCCTGTGTCATGGGTCAGTGCTCAACCACTGGGCTATGCCAGCTGGGCTACCAAACAGCATTTTAAACACTGACATAGAAACCCCCCTAATAGATAAAGCAAAGACAAAAGCTTTTACCTTATGAGAAGGGAGATACACCATCCATCACGTAAATAGTCTTCAAACATTATTGCACTCTAACATCCGTTATTTGACAGTGCGTTCATCAGACAACTGGTTTCAGCAAATTAAAGGGCACTTTTACACAGACACAACTGTCCTAAGTTGTTTACCAGGTGAGAATTTTCACACGTGACGTACATTAGTGGTAACGTGGCGCGGAGAGTCCTGCGCCTTCTCCGTGCTCATGGTGAGAACCGCCCCTCACGTCTCCCTGTGCGTGTGGACGGGTTTGGCGATCCATTGGGTGTTGGGATTCCTTCTCATAGCCTGATGGAATGGATCAAAGAAGATAACCTCAAACTACGTGGAATCTTCACCACCCAGTAAAAATTCAGGACTCGCGGAAACCGATTTGGCTTAGTGGGTAGAGCATCGGCCTGCGGACTGAAGGGTCCCGGGTTCCATTCCGGTCAGGGGCATGTACCTTGGTTGCGGGCACATCCCCGGTAGGGGGTGTGCAAGAGGCATCTGGTCTGTTTCTCTCTCATCGACGTTTCTAGCTCTCTCTCTTTCCCTTCCTCTCTGTAAAAAATCAATAAAAATATATCTAAAAAAAATAATTCAGGACTCTCAGCCCCATTAGAATAGTTAAGTTATTCTTCATAGAAGGTTCCGGGGTGTCAGGAGACCTAGCTTCAGACCCCAACTCTGTCACTAATCAACGGAGAAATCTGGGGCAGATCATTTCACCTCTCCAGAGTTTTCATTGTTTGTTTGTTTTCCATTTAAAAAATGGGGCAATGATAGTAGCTATTTCATGGGATTGTTAGGACGCTCTCTCCACTGAGCCAAACCGGCTAGGACTGGGCTTGTGCTTGTATCTGTAACTTAGGGATAACAACAGTACCTGCCTCAGGGGATTAAGTGACTTAATACATGTCAAGCGCTTTGCAGAGTCTTGGCATGTGGTCAATAACTGTGGGTGGCTTTGTTGGGGAGCAAGGGAGAGAACGGTGGAAGAGGTTGGAGAGGTGAGGGTCAGTCACAGAGGCCGGTGGGGGCGCAGTGAGTGTGCTTATTCTAGGAGCAGCGTGGAGCCACTGGAGGGGCGTGAGCAGTGGCTCTGACGAAGCACAAGAGCTGATACAAGAGTCCAGGCGAGGCCCCTGACACAGACGGGGGGTGGTGTGTGTGTGTGTGTGTGTGTGTGTGTGTTTTCATGTCACGCACAGTGTACGCACATGTCCATGGGAATAGCTGGCAGCCGAGGTGGGACCTGCCGCCCGAGCCCCTGTTACCCCCAGCCCTCCCCTGCAGGCTGTGGGTGAGCGTGGAGGACCCTCAGATGCACACTGTCACCATCTGGCTCACAGTGCGTCCTGACATGACAGTGGCTTCCCTCAAGGACATGGTGAGTGAGGAGACTGGAGGGAGACACCAGGGCGGAGGCTTCCCATCGTGCTCTGACTCCTTCCCTCTCCCCGCTCCGCCCCCTCCAGGTGTTCCTGGACTACGGCTTCCCGCCGGCCCTGCAGCAGTGGGTGATCGGGCAGCGGCTGGCCCGGGACCAGGAGACGCTGCACTCGCACAGCGTGCGGCGGGATGGCGACAGCGCCTACCTCTACCTGCTGTCGGCCCGCAACACCTCCCTCAACCCTCAGGAGCTGCAGCGCCAGCGCCAGCTGCGGATGCTGGAAGGTGAGGGCCGCCCCGAGGGATGGGGCCCGCCGGAGGCCACGGGGCTCCAGGGAGCAGCGCCCCTGGGCTTTCGGTCAGGCAGGATGTCTGGAATGACGTCCGGAAGACGTGGCTAAGTCAGCATATCCCCTTTTATGAGTATAGGTGTCCTTTATATCGAAGCCCTGGCATTCAGCTGTCCTCTCCGTCCCTCCTGATACTGATGTGCTGAGTCTAGTGTTTTTTTTTTTTTCCGTCCAGTGTCTCATGAATGGATCAGTCAGTATTTTGACGGGTCCAGCTCAGGAGCCGTTTGTCCTTCGGGGGGGCCTCCCTGCAGGAGCACAAGAGGCCACTGTTAGGCAGGATTGTAAGCCCCAGGACACAGGGGCCCTCGTGGGTGGAGGAGGGACTCTGACCTCTGGGCACCAGGACACTCAGCCAGGTCTGGGTCTGCCTGGTAGGACCAAGCGGGAGACTCCTCCAGGGAGGAGGGAGAGGCTAGGAGGGCGTGGGGTGCAGGGGTGGGTCCTGGCTGGCCACGGGGTGTGGATGAAGTGGGAGAGGAGGGAGAGGTTGCAGGGATGCACCCACTTCTACCCCTCTCTCCTAGACCTGGGCTTTAAGGACCTCACGCTGCAGCCCAGGGGCCCCCAGGAGCCGGCACTTCCGAAGCCGGGGGCCCCCCAGGAGCCCGGTCAGGGGCCTGACACCATTCCCGAGCCCCCACCGGTAAGCGCCCCTGGTCCCTGCCTCCCCCTGCCTGGCCTCAGCGCGCTGAGCTCACGCCCTCTGTCCCCAGGTGGGCTGGCAGTGCCCTGGCTGCACCTTCATCAACAAGCCCACACGGCCCGGCTGCGAGATGTGCTGCCGGGCACGGCCCGAGACCTACCAGGTGCCCGCCACGTACCAGCCGGACGCGGAGGAGCGCGCGCGCCTGGCCAGCGAGGAGGAGGCGCTGCGCCAGTACCAGCAGGTGGGCAGGCTGCCCCGTGGGCACCTGCAGGTGGGAGGGAGGAGGAAGCAGGGAGGCCCTCCGCACCCTGCCCCTCCCCATTGCTGCCCGGTCCTCCTGGACGGACCACAGGCACTGGCCCTGCTTGACTGACCCTCCCTCTCCTGCGGCCCAGGCCTGGCTCCCTGGCTGTGGCCGCAGCCAGGCTCTCGTCTCCTGGCCCCCGGGGGTTGTGGTCCCCCCCCCCTCGCTTTGACATACACACCAGTTGTGCACACAGGTGTGCCTGGTTGGGATTCCAACATCCTGGCTGAGACCCTGACCGTGTCCCCCTGCCACCCCCTCGTCCACCTGTGACCTCGCCTTGGGTCCTCCTATTCCTGTCGCCCTGCCTCTCTGGCTGAATCCCACCCCTGACTTCCTGCGACCTCCGGACCCAGCCCCTCACCGCTCCCTGGGCGGTGGGCCCCACTCTGGCCCGTCCCTCTTGGAGTCCCGTCTGTCAGTGCTGCTCACACACCTGACTCCGATGTTCCCATTCTGATCGGACGCCCCATCCTCCGCCTCGTTCTTTCGGACCCAGGGCTGCCCTTACCACCCAGCCATGACCTCACTCCTGATCCACCTACAGCCTTGGCCGGATTCCTGCCCTCTCTGCCTTGCTCTGCTCCGTAGCATCACCTCCCCTTCCCATACCCCTGACTACTCTGCGACCTTGACCTCGCCCCACCTCCAGCCCGTGGCCCCGCCTGCTGAGCTTGGCAGAAATGAGAGCCCTGGTACCTCTGATTGCCTCCTCAGACCGTGGCCTGTCCTTCCCGCCATCGCTCCCGGGCTCGGCTTGACTCCTGATTGCAGCCCCAGCTTGCCCTGCCTGCCTTCCTCCTGCCCTGGCTGCTCTGCCTGGCCTGCTCCAGCCTTCCCCCTGCCCAGCGGCTCTCGCTCATGCCCGCTGCCCAGCCACCGCCGCCCTCCCTGGGAATCCTGATCTCCCAGCCTTGTCCCCTCTCTGGGGTCTGACCGGGACCCCTTGTCCCGCCTGGTCTGACCCGCCCATGGCCCCGCCCCGTGTGCCCAGCGGAAGCAGCAGCAGCAGGAGGGGAACTACCTGCAGCACGTCCAGCTGGACCAGAGGAGCCTGGTGCTGAACACGGAGCCCGCCGAGTGCCCCGTGTGCTACTCGGGGCTGGCGCCCGGCGAGGCCGTGGTGCTGCGGGAGTGTCTGCACGCCTTCTGCAGGTGCGCCCCCCCCCCCCCCCCCCGTCCCCCCGCCATGCAGCAGGGTCCCGGCCACAGTTAGCCAGGCAGGAGGGGGTGGGCCGTGTGCTCTCACATCTCATTGGACCTCAAGCTGCATTTGTGGACCTCACCCACAAAGTCCCGGCAGGCATCGTCTCCCCATTTCCCAGGGTGCAGAGAGGCCAGCAGCTGGCTCAGTGCCGCACAGCTCGGGCATTCTGGCTCAGAGCCTGTGCCGCTCGCTGCTCCTGCCCGGGCCCATGCAGGGCGCTGAGGCCCTAGCCCTGGCCACCTGGCCGGGGGGCAGTCTGCCCCCCTCCCGGGTCCTCCTCTCCTGGCCCCTCCGTCCTGGGCTGCGGAGAACACGTCCTGGCGTTTGGTGAGCAGCCCCCGGGCCTCCTAGGCCTGGGCATCCAGGGGGATCAAAAAGTTCAGTTCCTGCCCTCTGGGCTCATTCCATAATCACAGATTAACTGTAATGGCGGCATGCCAAGCACCCGGACTATAGCAGGGCCCTGGAGGTGGCGCCGGTGTGGGTATGTGCCTGGTCTCTAAGGAGCAAGGGGCCGGTGTGGCTGGAGCGGACGGGTGGACGGAGGTGTTCGGGAGGGCGAGTCATGGGGTGCTTATGAGCACAGTTAGGAGTTTGGATTGTTCTGAGCCTGAGCGGGACGGGATGGGAGCCTGGGGAGGAGTGTGGGGGACACTGGGAGCCCAGGACGGGGCTGCCGCTGCCTTCCAGGTGAGGGGACGGAGAGCTGGAGCGGAGCAGTGGGGTGGGCAGGAGTTGAGGCCATGGCGAGGCTGGTGGGACGGAGGGGAGACATTGAGGAGGAACCACGTGGGCCAGGCTCGCCCTGCGAGGTGGAGTCCCGGTGGGTGGGCTGCAGCTGACCCTCCCCTCCACCCCTCCCTCTCCCAGGGAGTGTCTGCAGGGCACCATCCGCAACAGCCAGGAGGCAGAGGTCGCCTGCCCCTTCATCGACAACACCTACTCGTGCTCGGGCAAGCTGCTGGAGAGGGAGATCCGGGCGGTAAGCCGGGGCGGGGCGGGCGGGGCTCCTCTCCTCCCAGGGAGTGGCCTGGAGCTGGCAGGTGGGAGCTGGCTCAGGTGCCCGTCTCTCTCGGGCAGCAGACCTTTATCGAGAGCCTTCTCTGCGGGGTGCTGAGGGCCCAAGCAGTCAACAGGACAGGAATTGGGGGAGGTAGCTAGTTAAGAAACCCCCTTATGAAGGAAGGACAGCCAAGCAGTTAGTGGGCCTGGTGACCTCCATTCAGATCCTCGGCCTCTGAGAGTCTCGGTGTTCTCCTCCGTGAAGGGCAAAGGTAGCGCTGTTTTTGGTTTCAAAGTTGGGAAGGGTTTGTGTAAGGAATCCAGAGCAGCGTTTGACCCATGGTAAGTGCTTACAGTTGCCTTGTGTGGTGAGAGGCCATTCAGACTTAGTGGCTTCAAACAGCCACCGTTTATTTAGCCCACGAACCTGCCACTTAGTAATTTCGGTGGCTTATGGGACGGTTCTCCTGTCCAGCCAGGACGGGTTGGGCCTGGCTGACCTCACGTGGGCTTAGCTGGCGGTCAGCTGCCCTGGGCTGGCTTCTGACGGGCTTATCTGCGACGGCTGGGATGGTGGGCCTCTCCCCACTTTGGTCTCTGTCTGCCTGCAGGCTGGCCAGGCTGCTCACGTGGTGGCCTCAGAGTTCCCAGGGCAGCCAGAGGGGGGCCCCAGGGCAGGAGGGCTTTTCACGTCTCTGCTCCTTTCACACTTGCTGCTGCTCCACTGGCTCAAGCCCAGATTCTGTGCAGAAGGCACCACCATGAGCGTGGAGTCAGGGAGACAGGAACAGATTGGGGCCATTCCTCCAGCATCTGTCACAGTGCTGTCTGTGTGCGCCTGTGTCTGTACCTGTATGTGTGCAGCCTATCACAGTGCTGTCTGTGTGCATGTGTGTGTGTGTGTGCACGCGTGTGCAGTCTGTCACAGTGCTGTGTGTGCACCTGTATGAGCAACCTATCACAGTGCTATCTGTGTGTGTGAGCCATCTATCATAGTGCTGTCTGTGCACCTGTGTGTGTGCCATCTGTCATAGTGCTGTCTGTGTGTGTGTGTGTGAATGTGTGTATGTGTGTGCGCACATGCACGCTCGCTATTGCTGTTAATGCTATTATCAGGTTCTCTCCCTGACTGCTGTTCTGCTGTTGATCTCCCTCTGGGCCTCCATTTCCCCATCTGTAAAGTGGACTGTTGGGTTTGATTTATGGTTTTTAAACTGCTGGGCAGCGGCCCTCCCAGAACTGGGCATCTTCAGATACCCAGGCAAAAACATGAGGCCTGGCCAAGGTGGCTGAGGTCCAAATGGGGGACCCCACAGGCACACACACCAGACCCTGCTTCTCCCCCACTCCCGCCTCCTGTGGCCCTGCTTCTGAGACCCTGACTTCCCCAGGCCTTCGGCGGGGCCCAAGGAGCTCTGCCTCCAGGGAAAGCGGGCGACAGAGGGGTGGGATTTGAGGACTTCCACCGTTAACCCCAAGAGCAGCCCGTTTATCTGCTCTGGGGGCTCAGGAGGGTGGCTCTGGAAGGTTGCTGAGGCCTCCTCCCTGGGCCTGGAGGGTCAGTCCCTGTGACCGGTGCCCACGGTCGTTGCCCAGAGGTGCTCCCTGTCAGTCCTCCAGGCCAGGGCACAGGGCCATGCGTGCCTGGAGCCCCTGGGAGTTAATGTAGCCTCACAGTGATCCAGGGTGGCAGCGAGTAGAGGGACGGGGATCAGCAGAGTAACGCAGTGCAGATTGGTTTTACAAAAAACATGTCTAACCCACAAAGAACTAGGACAGGAATGAAAGAAAAGTCCCCATGACCCACCATCCCAGCAGATCCCCGATTGCGTTTTTCTCCTGTTAACTTTGGTGTCTCTGGGCAGACATGATATTTTTCCTTTTTAAAATCAGCTTCATTAAGGTATACTATGCATACAATAAAACGCACTCATTGTAAGGGTACTGTTGGGTGAGTTTTGACAAATGTCTCTTGTAACCACCACCCCAATCAAGATATAGAATGTAGGCATGATTTATTTATTTAAATATATTTTTATTGTTTATATTATTACAAATGTTCCTCTCCCCCCCTCCATTGCTCTCCTCCACCAGGTTCCCACCCCACCCTCTGTCCTTTCCCCACCCCCCATTGTCCTCATCCATAGGTGCACAGTTTATGTTCAGTCTTTTCCCACATCCTCCTCTCCCCTTTTCCTCAAGAATCGTCAGTTCACTCCCCTTCCATACCTCTGATTCTATTATATTCACCAGTTAATATTGTTCAGATTTTTTTTTAATTTCTTAGATCCACTTGTTGATAGTTACATATTTGTTGTTCATAATTTTTATCTTTATTTACTTTCTCTTCTGAAAGAACCCCCTTCAGCAATTCATATAATTCTGGTTTGGTGGTGGTGAACTCCTTTAGCTTTTTTTATTTTTATTTTTTTATTATTGAAGCTCTTTATCTGACCTTCGATTCTGAGTGATAGCTTTGCTGTATAGATTATCTTTGGCTGTAGGTTCTTACTATTCATCACCTTGAATATTTCTTGCCATTCCCGTCTGGCCTGCATGGTTTCTGTTGAGAAATCAGCTGACAATCGTATAGGTGCTCCTTTATAGGTAACTACCTGCTTTGCTCTTGCTGCTTTTAATATTCTCTTTTTGTCTTTTGCTCTTGGAATTTTAATTATGATTTGTCTTGGTGTGGTCCTCTTTGGATTCCTTTTGTTTGGAGTTCTGTGTGCTTCCTGGAATTGTAAGTCTAATTCTTTTACCAGGTGGGGGAAGTTTTCTGTCACTATTTCTTTCAGTATGTTTTCGATATCTTGCTCTCTCTCATCTTCTGGGACCCCCATAATTCTGATGTTGGTTCGCTTGAAGTTGTCCCAGAGGTTTCTTACATTATCTTCAATTTTCTGGATTCTCTTGCCTTCTAGCTTCTACGGAGGAGTGTCTTCTGGCTCTTTATGTTCCAAATCTTTGACTTGATTTTTGCGATCGATCTTCCATTCTATTTTTAGGACTCTGTATATTTTTTATTTCAGACAATGTATTCTTTATTTCTTGTTGATCCCTTATCATTTCTTATTGATTCCTTATTAATTCTAGTTGATGCTTTTTCATGTCCTTATAGGTCTTATCGATCCTTTCTAGGGAATTCTTGAAAAACCTTATAAGTGTAGATTTGAACTCTATATCCAGTTGCTTTTTGTCCTCCATTTCTTTCTTTTGTGATCTATTTTGTCTCGGCATTTTCGCAGCTTCCTTGATTGGGCAGGGTTTCAGGGTGGAGCTTACAGCTTTGGCTTCCGTCAACCCCGCCCTATGCAGCTCCTGAGTCTCAGGGTCCTTCAGTACTCGTTGCAAGCGCCTCTGAGAGAAAGGTGCCCTCGATTTTTGCCTGCTACCAAACAGTCTAGGCTCTCCCCCAATGAGCCCGGTATTGGGGTTCAGTTCAGTTGGAAGTGGAGTTGGAGGTGGCGTTCAGAGCAGTGTGGAGCCCCTGTCTCCTTCCCGCCAGGGCAATCCCATGGCACAGGCAACCGTCCCTTCTCTGCGTGCAATGTGTGCGCCTCCGGGACCTCCTTTTGCCGCTCCCCCGGGGTTCCACCTTTCAGCCCAGCTCCCTCTGTTTGAGCCTGGGTCCCCGGGTTCTGGCCTAGAACTGGGGTTCAGAGCAATCAGAACTGGGGTCCAGCACAGTTGGAGCTTTTATCTCCTTCCCGCTAGGGAACGCCCGCCAGGCACTCAGCCTCCCTTCTCTCCGGCTCCGTCCTCTCCGCATGACACGTGTCTGCGTACCTCAGGCCTTTACAGCTCCTCCGCGCTTCCTTCTGGTTTTCTCCTTGTTTCTCATTGTAGAATTTCCAGTCAGTCGACTCCTGTAGTTCTGGGTAATGTCTATTTTATATTTTAGTTGTATTTTATTGAAATTGTTGTGTGCGGCTGCGGCTGGGTGTTTACCTGTGCAGCCATCTTGGATTCTCTCTCGATTTATTTATTTTTAAAATTTTTTTTTATTGACTTCAGAGAAGAAGAGGAAGAGAGAGAAACATCAATGATGAGAGAGAATCATTGATGGGCTGCCTCCTGCATGCCCCCTGCTGGGGATTGCAACCTGGGCATGTGCCCTGACCAGGAATCGAATCATGACCTCCTAGTTCATAGGTTAATGCTGAACCACTGAGCCATGCTGGCCAGGCATGATTTTTACTGGTAATAATCAGCACAGATATGACAGCCTTTGCTATTTTCTTATTTTTTAAAAAAATTTTTTTGGTTAATCCTCACTTGAGCATATCTTTTCCATTGATTTTTAGAGAGAGTAGAAGGGAAGGGGAGAAACAGAGAGAAACATTGATGTGAAAGAGACATGTCAACTGTTTGCCTCCTGCCCCTGCCCGGACCAGCACCAGGAACAGAGCCTGTAACTGACGTACATGCCCTTGGCCGGAATCGAACCCAAGACCCTTCAGTCTGTGGGCCAACACTCTGACCTCAGTAAAACTGGCTAGCACAGCCTTTGCTATTTTGCTACAAAGTCTTACTAAAGGTTATTGTCTCTATGGTATAGATCCTGTTTATACCTCTTAATAATTCCAACGTCTCAGTTCATAAGTAATGCTTCAAGGAACATTTTGCTGGTATCTTTCTCCTTAACCTGTTAACGTCAAACGTAAACAATATCGGGAACGGGTAGGACGTATGAATAAGTCCTTGAAATATATGTTGTGCCCCGAGAGGGACGGTATATATTTTTTGTAATCTTTTTTTTTTTTTAATATTTTATTGATTTTTTTCAGAGAGGAAGGAAAGGGGAGGGATAAAGAGTTAGAAATATCGATGAGAGGAGAGAGAAACATTGATCAGCTGTCTCTTGCACACTCCCCACTGGGGATGTGCCGGCAACCAAGGTACATGCCCTTGACCGGAATGGAACCCGGGACCTTTAGGTCCGAAAGCCGACGCTCTATCCACTGAGCCAAACCGGTTTCGGCTATTTTTTGTAATCTTTATCATTGTTTGTAAAATTTATAATTTTTTAATTCGACGTGTCCATTTTTTTTGTCGGTATTCTTTTCTATTTTTTTTTTTGTAATTTTGTGTTTTCCTTTGTGCTTTTTATATATAAATAAACGAAAATGTATATATTTCATTTCTTTTCATTAAGTATAAATAAAAAAAAAAATGAAATTACGCCCTCCGGGCGTGACGTACTGACACGTCCTAGTGAAAGAGTTCGCGCCCGTTACGGGTTGCGTCATTAAAAAGGGAGCTCCCCGGCTAACAGGTTAATATTACTTGCTTAGGATAAACCTCTAGAAGTGGATCGAGTCCCAAAAGATCAGAAAAGTTTGGGTGGTTGGAATGTGCTGCCACATTGCTCTCTCAGAGTGAAATGCACCAGGGCACCAGTTTAACCACATATTCCCCAGAATCGCTTGTTGTTATTTTTGTCCATATTTTTCGTTTTTTTTTTTTTTATTGTGGTAAAATGTATATAAGTTACCATCGTACCCACTTTTAAACGCACGGTTCCGTGGCAGTAAGTGTATTCACTGTTGTGCAGCCATCACCCCCATGCCTCTCCAGAACGTCAATCCACGCCTGAAAGGAGTTTTTAAATGCTGAGGAGGAGAAAGGAGCCTGGGGCTGGGCGGGCTTTATGGATTGGGGCTTCCGGGAGCATGTTCGGTGGAGGGAGGGCCGCTAGCCGGTGTTCTGAGCCGCAGAGACTGAGGCTGTGGTCTTGGCAGCTGCTGACCCCGGAGGAATACCAGCGGTTCCTGGACCTGGGCGTCTCCATCGCCGAGAACCGCAGTGCCTTCAGCTACCACTGCAAGACCCCGGACTGCAAGGGGTGGTGCTTCTTCGAGGACGACGTCAACGAGTTCACCTGCCCCGTGTGTTTCCGCGTCAACTGCCTGCTCTGCAAGGTGGGATGGGGACCCGCGCCGCCCGTCACCCCGTCCCGCCAGGAGCTCACGCCCCTCAGTGCTTGTTCTGTGCAGGGCCTGGTTGTCCTGACTTAGAGCTGCATGTCCTTGATGGGCAACTGAGCCCTGACCCTAAGTTCCATCCCTGATGGAACCTCATCCTAGACTGAGCCCTGGCTCTGGATGAACCTTAACCCCACACTGAGCCTTGACCCTAACCAGTCCCTGCCCCTGTCATCTCAACAGCTGACTGTTACAGAGACCGGTGAAAGGAGACAGGTCTGAGCCTCGTCACCTTACTCCGGCTTAGTCTCCGCCTAGCTAGGCACAAAGGGCCTCAGCCTGGGGGGAGTGGTTGAGGGTTTCTGTGCCCTTCAGGGCTTAGAATAAACAGGTAAACAGTATCACACATGCCGACCCTGGCTTCCCCTCACTGGCCTCCGTGTGTTCTGTAAAGTGCGCGTATGGTTTATAACGTGAGGCCCGGTCAGTGACAGCACCTAGAGGCATTATGTACTTGTGTGGGTGCCTGCTCCGTCCCCCACCTCTCCCAGTTCCTAATGGGGGCCTTCTCATCTCGAGCCCCCCGCTCCCACAGGCCATCCACGAGCAGATGAACTGCAGGGAGTACCAGGACGACCTGGCTCTGCGGGCTCAGAACGACCAGGCCGCCCGGCAGACGACCGAGATGCTGAGGGTGAGGCTGGGAAGGGCCGAGGACCTGGGGATTGGAGTTCTGGGAGCTGGAAGGGCTGTGGTTTATGGGCCCTGGAGGTTCTTCCCCCCCTGCTGGCATCACTCCCAGCCAGAGCTGGGCTCTGGACGGGTGCTAGGTGGCCGGCAGCAGGACACGAGAGAGGAGACCGCAGAGACAGGGAGCCTCGGAGAGGGATTCCGCTCCAGAAGAGTCGCGGTTTTCCTCCGTCGTACTCGGGAGGGCCGCGGGGAGGGAGTGAGCCCGGGCGCTGCCCCCGCCCGGCCCAACGGCAGCCCCTGCTCTGCCCAGTCCATGCTGCAGCAGGGCGAGGCCATGCACTGCCCGCAGTGCCAGATCGTGGTGCAGAAGAAGGACGGCTGTGACTGGATCCGCTGCACCGTCTGCCACACCGAGATCTGCTGGGTCACCAAGGGCCCGCGCTGGGGCCCGGGGGTGAGTCCTTAGGGAGCAGGGGCTCAGGAAGGGTGGGGAGGGGACCTTCGTGGGCCTTGCCCAGGAGTGGAGATCGGAAGACGACAGCCCAATCCAGTCCCCGCCTGTATTTGTACAGCCAGTGAAGTAAGAATATTTTTTTATTTATTCATTTTAATATATTTTATTTTTAAAAAAAATATATATTTTATTGATTTTTTACAGAGAGGAAGGGAGAGGGATAGAGAGCTAGAAACATCGATGAGAGAGAAACATCGACCAGCTGCCTCCTGCACACCCCCTACCAGGGATGTGCTTGCAACCAATGTACATGCCCTTGATCAGAATCAAACCTGGAACCTTTTAGTCAGCAGATGGATGCTCTATCCACTGAGCCAAACCAGTTTTGGCTATTTTTTACTTTTTAAATGGTTAAAAAATATCGAGAGTATTTTGTGATGGGAAAATCACATGAAATCCGATTTTTTGGGTCCATAAGTGAAGTTTTAAGGGAGCACAGTCCTGCTTATTCTTTTACGCGGAGTCTGGCGGCTTTTGTGCTCCAAAGGCAGACTGCATGGCTGCAAAGCTGGAATCTCCGTCCGGCTCTTCATAGAAAAAGTCGCAGCCCTCCCCGAGGACAGTGACGAAGGGCTCAGTGCGGAGTCAGGTGGCGTGGGTCCTTGGCTCTGGCACAGTGGGCTGGGAGGGTTAGGCTGTTACTGCCTTCTCTGAGCCTCAGTTTTTTCATCTGGAAAATGGAGGTGATAGCTGGGCCTGTCTTACTTAGGCTTATTGTCAGAATCAAATGAAAAAGGGTAAGAAACGGGTGTAGCACGATGCTTATCATATTGCGAGCACTTCATATGTGGTAGCTATCAAGTTAGGGGTGTGTCCCTGGAATTGGGGGTCATGGTTACAGACAGGCTTCGAGACAGTGGAGGTGGAGGAAGCAGCCCTTTTCATGCTGCCATGTCCTGACCTTCCAGAATATGCAGAGACCCATCAGCTCCCTCCCTGCTCTGGGTCTCGGGTGAGGCAGATTGAGGCCATGTAATTGGGTGCCCAGAAAGGCATTTGTGATGGCCTCCGCCAGGCTGCTGGGGCCGAGGGCCCGTTTAGGAGCAGGGCCTGGAGCTTTTGGTGTGACGGAACATCCCTGCCCTGACCTCTCCCCCATTCTGCAGGGCCCTGGAGACACCAGCGGGGGCTGCCGGTGCCGGGTGAACGGGATTCCTTGCCACCCCAGCTGTCAGAACTGTCACTGAGCTACAGACGGCCCAGTCCCCATGCTGCCCCAGCGCCACGTCCACAGCTGCTGTGGGACAGGGCAGGTGCTTTGGCTCTGAATTCTGGCCGGGGAGATGCCCGTGTGCTTGGCGGGGACAGGGACCCAGCAGAGCCACAGCCTCGGAGCTGCACGCGGCCTTGTTTGTGTGGGTGTTGCAAGAGCTGCCTCTTGTCTACGGCCACCTCTGTCCCCGTGCCTCTGCCCTTCCCCTGGGGCTTGCTGGCCAGACCTCTCATCTATCCTCTGTGGCTCCCACCTCTGCCTGGCCCAGCCTCAAACAGCCCTGCCATCGGCCTGCTGGATAGAGCCTCTGAGAGCCCTCGTGTCCGTACATCCCCACCCACCGACCACCTGTCTCCTGAATACCACGCACTCAGCCCGCCACTTCCCGTCGGCTTTCCGGGCTGACTTCTCGGCTTTGCTGCTGGAGGCCTGGGGCCTGAGGCCTGCTGCTGACCCTGTTTGGAGCCAGGAGGGAGACCTAGCAGTTCCCAAAGCACAGCTCATCTGGCCCCGCTTCCACATCTCCCTCTGCTGCTTGTGTGGCTAACTAAGGTGGTTTTCCAGGGAGGGATGAGAGATGTCTGAGTGAGAGGGACATGGGCTGGGACTCTGCAGAAGAAGCAGGAAGAGTATGTGTGAGCTGCTTGGCATCCCTGTGCCCAGCTTGAGCGGGTAGGATGTGGGCGTGTACAGGGGAAGTCTGCAGTGTGTTTAGAGGCCACAAAGCAGGTTCTGCAGGTCCGTGTGGGCTTGAGGGGCAGAAGGGGCCAAGGCAGCAGGAACAGGCCAGCAGGAAAGGCTTGCTGCTCCCTCTGCCACGAGTGGGCATCCAGGGTCGGGGAACAGACGTCAGAATCAGGTAAAACTGCTGCGGGTGAGGCTGCCCATCCTAATTTTAGTGTCTCAGGTAAAAAGGGCACAGCATTGGTTCAGCAATACTTATCAGTCTCCTCTTTGTGTTGGTCAGGGATTAATAGAGAGAGCTCTAAGTTTTACTGCATTCGTGGACCCACTCCCTTCCCCTGTGGCCTGGTGTTGGATGGCCAACATGTCTGCGCTGAGCCATGGGTCATCCGAGAGGCAGGGCGTCTCTGCTCTGCATGGCCCGGACTCCAGGCTCCGAAGTTGGGGCCTGTGGTTTTGGGGCCGTGAACTTATTCTAACCCCTGGAAACGCAATGCCACCTGTCCTTGGAGGCCAAGACTGGAGTTGGGCCTCAGGCACTGTGAGCAGAGCTATCCGAGAACAGGAATGCCTTCCTGCTGGCTCAGAGCAGCTGTGGTAGCTCCAGGGCACGCTCGGGCCACCTCCCACTCTGAGCGAGACAGGCAGAGCCACTGACCTGGAGGACAGTAGCTGAGACCTGGTCCACAGGAGTAAGATGGGGCCCAGATCAGGGCAGAGCGTTCTCTTACCACCTCCTTCCTCCTCTCCTTCCGGGGTCCATCTTGGTGTCCCTTAGGCAGGGACGGGGAACCTTTTTTGTTTTTTGCCAAGGGCCATCTGGATATAAGGTAATTTATGGGCCATACAAAATTGGAAACTTAAAGAGGTCGCTGCTTGATTCCTGGTCAGAGCATATGCCTGGGTGGCAGGCTCAATACCTGGTGGGAGTGGGGGATGGGGAGGTGTGCAGAAGACAGCCAATTGATAATTCTCTTATCAATGATATTTCTCTCTCTTCCTCTTCCCTCCTCTGAAACCAATAAAAATATGTTTTTGAAAAATTAGCCTGCTATATTTGGTCAAACATTTAATTAACTCACCCCTAATGCCTTGGCAGGGCCAGACCAAATGACTTGAGGGCTGGACGTTCCCCACCTCTGCCTTGGGGGCTGGGGCACAAGAGAAAAGCAGACAGTTCTCTTGGTTCAGAGGAAGCAGACTGCTAACAGGTCTTTTCAATGCCTGCCTTTCTGCTCCATAAGGCTACGAGGTGTTGAAGTGTTTACCTGTGGCTGCGTCAGAATGAGGACCAAAGACAGGCAGAGGGGCTTCGATGGCTAGTTTCTCCCTCGGCCCGCTCCATCCACGCCAGCATGCACAGGGAGCGAGTCTGCTGCAGCCAAAATGGGGGTCAGGGCAGCCCCAGGGTTCTAGCCTCCATGCCACGCTCAGCGTTCCAGGGGGTGAGGCTCGTAAGTGCGCTCTTGCAGGGTCAAGGGGAAGTGCCACCCTCTCCCAAGGGGCCACCTCAGGCCTGGGCCCCAGCTCTTGAGAATCCATCGCCCACTGGCCATAGCAGACTTGAAACCAAGCCCCATAGCTTTGGACTCAAACCACCTACCTGGGGAAGCAGCAGGTCCCAACATACGTGTGCGCCACAATCTCTGTCTCCCGGCAGGAGAGGCAAGTGGAAGCCCACTGCTCAGTTACAGCGCCGCCGCCGCTATGGACGGGGAGTGGACGACGTGCCCACAGCCGTGTGTTTTCCTCTAGTGTTGGGCTGGCATGAAAGCCACTCACTCAAAAGCAGGAAGCGGGAGGCAAGCCCACAGCCTTGCTGGCTCACAAAGGTTCCTGGACAAATTCCAACCATTTGTAAGTCTGGGAAGAATACTGCTAGCAAGTAGAGGGCCTTTGTGAAGACAGAAAAAGGCAGCAGGAGCCACAGAAAACACGAAGGACAGCAGGGCAGGGAAAGGACAAAGTCAGGCCGAGCCTCAGGCCTAACATCTCTTGGTTGGATTTGGCAAAAGCCTTTGGCTTATTCTTCTTAACCACCACTTAATCTCTGAATGAACATGGGTCCCCAGCCCAGGGCTGGCTAAAGGCATTTGGTAATAACTGTTTACCAAAATGGAATAAAAACTCTGGCATGACCTCACAGTTTGTAAAGCATTTTCCCAAACATCCATGTGGGATGGGACTATCCGTCTTACTGTTATTGACAACTTGAAGCCCCCAGTGCACAAAATTTGTGCCCTCGGGGGAAGGGGCCCCTCAGCCCAGACTGTGCCCTCCCACAGTCCAGGAGCGCCCATGGGATGTCCAGCATGTGGGGAGCGGCCTCCGTCGGCAGTCGGATATCCTTCGGGCTGCCACAGAGGCGGGAGAGGCTCGGCCACTGATGCTGCACCCACCAGCCATGAGCCCAGCTCAGGGCTTCTGGCTGAGCGGTGCCCCCCCTGTGGGAGCGCACTGACCACCAGGGGGCAGCTCCTGCTGTGAGCATCATAGCGACCAGTGGTTCTGCTGTTTGGTCAATTTGTATATCAGCCTTTTATTATATAGGATGAGTTGCCAATAATTATTGCTTCCAATAATTCTCTCTCCGGACCCAGTATTGGGCCCAGCCTCACTCCCAAATCGCCTGGAGTCCCACTCTCCTCCACAGCTCAAAGTTGTCCCAGACCTGAACCCTAAGTACCTTCCATTGCCATTGCCCTCTCCATCTCCACACCCCAAACCCAGGTCCTCCTGGGCTTGCTGTCTACAGAATACCCACACTTTATTCAGCTGGTGCTTTTGTACTTCTTTTCCCTCAGCCTTGCACTTCTCCAATCCTCCAGCACCAACTGGGTGTCCAACAATTCAATCCTGACACCACCTGGAGTTAACATCAGATCCCACAAACTAACGGGCTGTCCCACAAGACTGCCCACTTCAGATGCCAACCGCAAACGGTGCCCAGGCTACCCACACTTCTTCCTGGCCAACTTCAAATTCAGGGGTCCCTACAACTCCCCCAGCTTTAATAATTTGCTAGAACTCAGGAAACACTATGGTTACCAATTTTTAATAAGGAATATCACTCAGAAACAGCTCAGAAATGAGTAGAGCCAGGTATGGGGAGAGGGTGTAGACCTCCCAGTCCTCTCTGGGTGCACTTCCCTCCCAGCATTTCAATGAGTTCACCAACCCAGGAGCTGTCAGCATCTGAATCGAGGTTGTGGAGTTCAAACTCCAGCCATCCCTCTCCTAGAAGGTCAGGGGATGGAACCAAAAGCCCCCACTCTCCAATCACTTGGGCCTTTCCGGGGACCTGCCTCATCCATTTTGAGGCCATTTAGCAGTCTCACTGTAAGCCATCTACTCCTATCAGTAAATTCCAAGATTTTTAGGGAAATAGTACAAAAAACACAAATATTTCTCATACAACGTACATCTTTCCTTCAATGTTCCAATTTTCAAATTCTACTTTTACACTAATCAATTCCCATGAAACTGCCAGTAATCTGCCACCCAAATTGTTCCTTCAATGTAACCACAGTGCGAGCTCCAGAGGCCAGCAGTGTCCTGGCCCGTGTCCCAGCTCCACATTCTAAGTATCAGGTCAGAGGACAGCATGGGCAGCTGGCTAGAGTGGTGGGACGAGGCCAGGGGGCTGTGATGCCGTTCAGTCTTGGGCACTCTCCCCTCACCCCTCTGGGACAGGGAAATAAACATCCCAGACAACGTGGATTCTTGCCCCTGTGATCGGCCCATCCACAGGATGGCGGCAACAGGCACGTGGCAACTGTTCTGGCTCCCAATACCCAACTGCTGGGATGTCACGTTAGAAAAGCTTGGCAAGAAAAGGCACCCACAGTTCCTCTGGGACAGAAATGACCCGTGGAGGCAAAATTATGTTCACGAGGCTCTGCTTTGGTTCCAAACCCGAATGCCAGCCTTAGGGACAAGGGGCACCCCCAGATTAGTGTGAAAAATAGTCAAGATCGCCCAGACTAGCACCCCACACCACTTTTGCTGCTCAACTAACCAGTGGCACCTGGCGGCAGCCGGCCTGTGTAGATCACTTCCTGCAGGTGAAACAGAAACAGGACTGGCAGGTATCAGCCCAGCTCTCCAGGCAACTCCAGGCTGACCGGAGTCCAGAGGCAGAGCAGTCCCAGGCCAGGGTGGAAGGCAGCGAGCACCAAGGCCATTTGTCTAAGACCAGAGTATGGTCCTACTAAGTGGCAGACAGGACAGAATGACAGAGATTAGTAACCACATATGGCTGTGTATTTCATACATGGCTCTGTACAAAATATTTACACACATTCTTTACAGAATAGTAACCACCTGGAGGTAAAAAGATAATGGTTTCTTCTCATCAACAAGGTGAATCCTGATGTCAGCAAAGCTTATCACACAAATGAACTCGTTCCTTCTTAGGCCACAACTGAAGCAAATGCCACTCGCTTCCTGGGTTCCAAAAAGCTGTGGCCTTGGGACCCTGACCACGTGCACCTCCTTTCCTCTCCCCCATCACTGTCTGCAGTACTGCAGACGGGCTGAGTGCGTGTGGCAGGAGGTGCTGCTGCTGCTGTCCATTTGTAACAAGAGGACAAACTTGCTGAGGGGAAGACAGGGAGAATCTGTCACGTCATCACCTCTGGATCCTGAAAGAATCTCCTTTGTCTTGACAGATCTTCCACTTTCTGGGTTAACCCATCCATACCACACTCACCCCAGGTGGGACTCCTGCCGTGGAGAATGACCCATCTCTGAGCTTTTTTGGTTCTAAAGTGCTGAGTGTAACAGGATAGCCGCCTCTCTGCCTGTCTCTGGGCTGGCCAGCTGCCTGGCACGCTGCATGCCCTCCACTCTGCACACAGGGGCATACGGGAAGGAGGGAAGGTCTGAGCAGAGGAGCTGGAGTGCTTCTGGCATGTTCACATTAAAACACCTGTCAAGATAGAACAGTGCTGGAGAGAGACCATGAAAATACAAGTACATGGCTGCTTTGGACTACACACCCCAATTCTTTAAAGCAAAAGGCACTTTTTTCCAAGCCAGAGCTCTCTGAAACAAAGCTGGCGTGGCTCACAGAAAAGCTGTCCTTGGCCGTTCCCTTGGCTCCAGTGAGGATGCGGCCTGTTCCGGCTCCGGCCGCTCCTCAGGCTGCAGGCCCTCCCTTTCTGGGAACTGAGTCTCCACTGACACTTCCAACCAGGAAGGAGAGACCGCAGCTAAGGAGATAAGTCAAACCCCCAAAACGAGCCAAGGTAGTGAGGGGGTGCCATCTGGGACAGACAGGTGATCCGAGGAAAGCAGGAAAGGGAGACCCAAGGAGGGCACTTTGGGAGAATGGGCTGTTACAAACAGCAGCTCTGGCTAATGTGAAATGTTAAACAATTGGGTAAAAAGGAACTCTCACGGTCTTCGAAGATCATCCTTCCGATGAGAACTATTTTCTTCCAGAAGGAACTATTATTTTTAAAGCGAGGGTGCTTTATATATTGGGTGTTGCATAATTCAAAAAATAGTCATAAAGGTATCTTTTAAAAAGCGAATAGGTAGCCAACAAAACAAAACAAAACAAAACAAAAACGAGGGCGAGGGGAGAGCCAAGTCAGGCTCAGCTGGTTAGAGCATCATTCCGTGCACCAAAGGGGTTACAGGTTCGATTCCTGGTCAGGGCACATACCTAGGTTGGGGGTTTGATACCCAATCAAGGGGGGTGAGGGAAGCAACCTATCAATGTTTCCCTCACATCCCTCTCTCCCCCTAGAGTCAAGGAACATATCCTCAGAGTGAGGATTAAAAATAAAAAAGCTCTGCCCTAGCTGGTTTGGCTCAGTGGATAGAGCGTCAGCTTGCAGACCAAGGGGTCCCGGGTTTGATTTTGATCAAGGGCACGTACGTTGGTTGCAGACTTCTCCCCAGCCTGGGCCCTGTCAGGGTGCATGCAGGAGGCAACCAAGCGATGTGTTTCTCTCACATTGACATTTCTCTGTCTTTCCCTCTCTACCACTCTCGCTAAAAATCAATGGAAAGATATCCTCGGGTGAGGATTTAAAAAAGGAAAAATGGTAGGCAAAACCAGTCTATGTGTGGGCCTTATAACTTAACATTCCTTCCTGTTTGTCTGTGATTTCTAGACGGAAAACCAGTAGGAGTTATCCAGTGACCCAGTTCCCAACTGCCTCTCTGATTTCTGACCAGCTAATAGAGCTGCTCTTCACAAGGGCCAACCTTGTTCCTGGGCTACCTCCTCTGCCCCCTTGCCTTCATCCTACCATCCGACTTCTTTGGCCAAAGCAGACAGAACAGGAGGAGCTGAGAGGGCTTTCGAAGGCCCCGCTTACTTACTGCTGGGCAGCGGCCAAAAGGTCCCAGTGACCAGGCCCAGCGGGCTGCAAAGACAGCTGGGAGCTCAAACCCCCACTTCCTCCAACACAAGGAGGCAGTGGAGAGCACACTCAGGAGCCCTCTGAGAGGGAGGAGAGTCCTATGCCCAGGCCCCAAGTGCCCAGTGTCACACAGGTTCTGCTACTGGCCTCTGAAGCAAAGGCAAACCATGGAGTGGCAGGGAAGGGTGGTAGGAATACAAAACCCTTGACAGAAACCCTTTTAATAAAGGACATCCCACCCCTCGCCATCTTCCATGGAAGGGCGAGACTTGACGCAATGCCGGAGGAAGGAAGAATCTCCTCCGGCATTTAGGGGAACAGCTGCAGCTGAAACTTGGGGGCCCACTCCAGGGCACTTTTCATCATCGCCAGGGCGGCGGCTCCAAGCGCCACGGTCAGCCCCATCACCGCCAGCTTCACAAAGCGGTTGGTCCTTGGTTTGGTCAGGACGTCTTTAGCTCGAGTCTCAGTCCGAAGAAGTCCCCGAAACCGCTGCCGCAGCACCATGTCAGGCCTCTGCTGGGTGGATGCCAGCTCAAAGTCTTTGAAAGTAGAGGCTGCCGTTCTGGAGAAAAGGAAGAATATGAAAGAAACAGAGAAGGCAGGAAAGAAAAACTAGATTACATAGGCTGAGGGCAGAGCCATCTACTGCTCAGAAACTCTTCTTGATGAAGACCCAGCAAGACTAACGTAGGGATTCTGCTGGCACAAGCTTAGAACTCTGGAAACATCCCCCAGCCCTCTCCTGACCAGGCACCAGCTTCCATCACTTCTGCTCACTAACAGACACCTCCCACCCCCAACCGGTGGCTTGCGTCCACTCACTTGTTGGCTTGCTGTTGCGCAGCTGCTTCCCAAGCAAGTCTAGATGGGGGAAACTGAACGAAAAGGTCTCCGGCTCTACTGATCAGCATCTCATAGGGCAGGTCCTGAGGGATCTGGGACAACAGGTGGTGAACGGAGGCCATGTCACAGTCACAATCCAGGACTTCCTCTTCTCGATACAACACGATCTGTGAAAAGCAAAGCCTTACATCGGGGACCAGAACGTACGAAGTCTTGTCATGTGCATTTCATTCTCCATAGAGATGAATTTAAACTGGTGACAGGGCTCACTCCAAATGTTCAGCAAACGCTTGTATCCATCTACGACAAAATAATGTACACATCTGAGTGCTTTTCCTACTGGCTGGGTCTTCCTGTGGGAGGCAAACTTCTACCCTAAGATATGAAAGACTGACCAATTAAATAACGGAGATTCTTTTAGGAGGAAGAGGAGAGGGATTCCTGGAAGATTCCTGGAGCTCCAGCACAGAAAATAATGGTTCAAAACCATAGAAAGAATGGTCTTGTTCTCATTAAAGAACAATGAAGAGTGCCTGTAAGTCCACACCTTCACCTCCACCCACCCCACCCCAATGATTCAGGCCCTCTAGTAACTGGAGCACCCCCAAACCATCTCAACTTTCCATCAATACCACACCCCATCTTTTCTTAGACCCAAAGTTGGCAATTTGCACTCATTCCAGAAGATGACAACAAGAACACAGAATTCAAGTGTAGGGAAACACTTTAAACATTCAAAAGAATCCTATATAATAAAGAGCTAATATGTTAATTAGACCGAACAGCCAGACAACCTTCTGGACGAAGCTGGGGCTGCGAGGGCTGAGCCCCTTGCACAAATTTTGTGCATCAGGCCTCTAGTCATGTAATAAATCTGTTTATCTTCATTTAACCAACTTTTCCCAACCTTAGTGTTACACAGAACATTTCTGCCCTCATGACATTCCCCATTACCATTGCACAAAATGGTGTCCAGGCACACCAGCCTAGGAAATGCTGTCTTCTGCATCTTCCCATAACCGCCCGGTTTCCCTTTAGGGGAAATGATCAAGCTGGATTGGGTGATGTGAACCTAGCTGCTGGCTTGTGGCCTGAACCTACCACAGCTGCAAAGTAAATGGGCATCAGAGGGTGGCAGGCCAGGAAGAAGTCGTATAACCGCACCACGTGTCTGAAGTCAGACAGGACGTGCCCAAACCAGGTGATGAGCCAGCTGAGGGCAAAGATGGTCCCGACCTCAGCACTAGGAACAAAGAAACAAATGTTAGGCTCCCTGCTGAGTGACCCTTTCCCCTTTTCTGGGCTCTCTTTGTCTCCAGTGCTATTAGAAGGAAGCATTTGGGAAATATACTTTATGAGAAATTCAGCATTTTCTCCCTAAAAAACACCAAGTTCTTAAGTTGTACCCCCCATCACGATATTAACACTACAATAGGTCCCTGATTGCCTTATTTCACTAGGTGCTCTAATGACCAACAAATGTTTACTACAGGAACAAAAAGTACCTATTTAGAGAAAACTATACCATAATTTTCCTTCTGAGAAAGTCATGCTCTTTTGGAGGACACAAGTACATATTCTCAGGATTGAAAACAACTCTGTTTATTTTTTAGTTAACATGAGGCGACTGAAACATATTAAGACATAGCTATTATTTGAAAGGAAAAGGTTCTGGCCGGTTTGCTCAGTTGGTTAGAGTGTTGTCTTGATACACCGAGGCTGCAGGTTCAATCCCCCAGTAATGACACATACAAAAATCAACCAATGAATGCATAAATTAAGTGGAACGACAAAGCGATGTTTCTCTCTCTTTCTAAAAATCAATTAATCAATCAATAAAAATTTTAAAAAGTCAGACATTGACCAAATACAAATTTCCAACTAAACAGAAGAGAAATATAAGTCAGATGAAATTTACAAAGAAATATTTCTTCTCCTTGGTACTTGGTAAATATTACCATCCACAGATGGCCGTGTCTTTCTTACCCCTGGATCCTACAGGTCTCTTGTGGCAATAACCTCAAAGTCTATGTTGGCATACTTAACTTGTCCAACTATTCCCTCTAGATGTAAAGTCCTCAAGAAAATGAGCAGTCACCTCTCATATATCCCCAAAAGAGCAGCGCACCCAACATGTACTCTAACACTGTGTACAGAACTGAATTATCCAGATCGCTGGTTAATTCAGGCCTGGCCAGCATGATTCAGTGGTTGAGTGTCAGCCTATGAACTGGGAGGTTATGTTTGATTCCTGGCCAGGGCACATGTCCAGGTTGCGGGCTCAATTCTCTCTCATCATTAATGTTTCTATCTCTCTCCCTCTCCCTTCCTCTCTAAAACTAATTTTATATATATAAAATTATTTTTTAAAAATATATTTTATTGATTTTTTACAGAGAGGAAGAGAGAGGAATAGAGTTAGAAACATCGATGAGAGAGAATCATCGATCAGTTGCCTCTTGCACACCCCCTATTAGGGATGTGCCTGCAACCAAGGTACATGCCCTTGACCGGAATTGAACCTGGGACCTTCTCAGTCTGCAGGCTGATGCTCTATCCACTGAGCCATACCGGTTTCAGCTAAAAATATATTTTAAACAAAAGAAAACTCAGAAGATCCGTATCTACATATCAATATCTACCTATATATATAAAAGCCTAAGCGACTGTATGACCAGTTGACCAATTGCTATGATGCGCACTGACTACCAGGAGGCAGATGCTCAACGCAGGAGTTTTCCCTTGGTGGTCAGTGTGTCCCCACAGTGGGAGTGCTGCTTAGCTGTCCAAGCACAGCTGTGGCAATAGGCTCAGCAGGGCTGGGATGAGCGGGAGCGGCATGCACCCGGCCTGGGCTTGGGTTCCTCCCTGGCTGCCTGTGGCTTCATACACTGCTATATCCCTTGGGGGATGTCAGATTGCCAGTTTTGGCCTGATTCCCGCAGAGCCAAAACCGGCAGTCTCACATCCCTTGAGGTCATGGATTGTGAGAGGGCGCAGGCCAGGCTGAGGGACCCCATTGATGCACGAATCTGTGCACCGGGCCTCTAGTAAGATAATGATGGAGTAGACTTGTGAGGAAGAAATAAAGGTAGAGAAGGTTGAAGGTGTGTGTGTGTGTACGTGTACATATAAATATAGACACATATATACCTCTGCATGAAGTCATGGAGTTCTGGATTCACCTGATCAATGATGGGCATTAGATAGTTTAATATATGTTTGGTGTTGTCCATTGTTGGATCCATGAAATCCCTAGAGGGAGACAATTCAATGAGTATGATCAGACCAAACACTTAGATAAGGGTGAGAATGGAATGGAGCTAACACCATTGAAAACAGTGATTAGAAAATGGCCTGCGGAGTTACCCAGGGGGTTTGGGAAGTGATGCCCAGTCTCCTGTATCCCTCTGTCTGGTACCTGAGGTGGTGGGTAGATACTTTTTCTACCAGGGATGTTGCCAGCCTCTCCCCTACCACCAGCAGAAATGTGACCACAATGTCGTGGTAGCCCTGGTAGTAATGCAGCTGAGGGTTGCGCTCCAGGACGAGGAGGATGATGTCGATCAGTTCTTCCTGGAGCCCTTCTCTCTGTTCTTTTGGCATGCCTGGGTGGGGAGGAGAGATGCACATAAGTATGGCAAGCAGCCTAGCAACAGAGATTAGGAATATAAACAGGAATGGATTTTCAGAGAAAGTATTTAAGAAAAGAAAAGTTGCATCTTAGTAACACATTTCTAGATCCACACACATATAGGAAATATGTGACTTACAAAAAAGAGCCACCAACTAGCAACCTTACATTGGGAGAACAGCCACCTTCTTAACTAAGTCACCACTGTTCACAAGGCCAGAAGTGTGACTCTTTGAAGCATGTTCCCCCTGATGTACTGAAAAGAACTCAGCATCACTCCTGTGGTATTCCTATAAAGAATGTTTATACCGCCCGGCCAGGTGCTCAGTAGTTAGAGCATCAGCCCTCAGACTGAAGGGTCTCAGGTTAGATTCTGGGTCAAGGTCATGTACTTTGGTTGGAGGCAACCAGTCCATGTGTCTCTCTCACATCTGTCCCTCCCTCTCTCCCTCTTTTCCTCCCCCCATCCCTTTCTCCTTCTCTGTTTCTCTCTCCCTCTCCTGCCTCCCTTACACTTTCTCTTTAAAAATCAATGGAAAAATTGATTTTAAATCCTCTGGTGAGAATTTAAAAACACACACAAACAAACCAACAACAAAAAAACCAAACACATGAAAGAATGTATCAACCTAAACAATGAGGAAATACCAAGCTCAAATTAAGGGAAATTTTATAAAATAACTGGCCTGGTGCCCAGCCGGCATAAATCGCATGCACTGGGCCTCTAGTAAAATATTAACTATTTCAGGTTAAATAAGGCTAAAGAGATATGATGCCTGAATGGGAAATGAATGAATTTGTTTTCTTTTCCTATGAAGGACATAAATGATATAAATGATGAAATATGAATCAAATCTATAGATTAGACAGTATTTTTTAATGTTGCTACTGATTTTGATAAATGTACTGTGATTATATATATGCCTTGTTTTTTAGGAACTACACCCTGAAATATTTAGGAACAAAGAGGTACCATGTTATACACCCTGAAATAAATTTTTTTTTTTTTAATAGAGAGGAAGGGAGAAAAATAGAGATTTAGAAACATCGATGAGAGAGAAACATCGATCAGCTGCCTCCTGCACACTCCCTACTGGGTATGTGCCCGCCACCAAGGTACATGCCCTGGACTGGAGTCAAACCTGGGACTTTTCAGTCCGCAAGCTGATGCTCTATCCACTGAGCTAAACTGGTTAGGGCTGTAATTTATTCTTAAATAATTCAGAAAGAAACTTAGTGTGTGTTAGCCCACTGTTATGGGAGAACATATTTGGCAATGATGCATCTGATAAAGGGTTAATATCCAAAATATATAAGAAACCCATATAACTTAATGAAAGGAAGACAAACAATCCAATTGAAAAATGGACAAAGGACCTAAATAGGTACTTTTCCAAAGTGGACATACAGATGGCTAAGAACTATATGAAAAAATGCTCAAAGTCACTGATCATCAAATGTAAACAACAATGAGTCATCACCTCACACCAGTCAGAATAGCTACCATCAACAAATCAATAAATGACAAGTGTTGGCAAGGATGTGGAGCAAAGGGAAACCTAGTGCACTGCTAGTGGAAATGAAGACTAGTGCAGCCATTATGGAAAAACAGTATGAAGTTTCCTCAAAAAATTTAATATGGAACTGCCAATTCATCCAGTGATCTCACTTCTAGGAATATATTCTAAGAAATCTGAAATACCAATCATAAAGAAGGGATATACCCCTATGTTCATAACAGCACAATTTATAATAGCTAAGGTCTGGAAACAGCCCACGTGTCCATCAGCAGATGAGTGGATAAAAAAGCTGTGGTACATTTATACCATGAACACCATGCAGCAGTAAAAAGGAATCTCTTATCCTTTGAGATAGCATAAAGGGACCTGGAGAGTATCATGCTAAGTGAAATAAGTCAAAGACATGTATTACATGATTTTACTCATATGTGGAATCTAATTAAAAAAATAAACTGCCGAAACCGGTTTGGCTCAGAGGTAGAGCATCGGTCTGCAGACTGAAAGGTCCCAGGTTCGATTCTGGTCAAGGGCATGTACATTGGTTGCGGGCACATTCCCGGTGGGGGGTGTGCAAGAGGCGGCTGGTCGATGTTTCTCTCTCATCGACGTTTCTAGCTCTCTATCTCTCTCCCTTACTCTCTGTAAAAAATCAATAAAATATATATTTAAAAAATAAAAAAAATAAACTGATGAACTGAGTGGATCCAGACACATGGAAGCATGGAACAGCGTGTGGAATCTCAAAAGCTGGAGAAGGGTAGGTGGGTGGGAGGTAATCAACCAAAGATCTTGTATTCATATATGCATAACCCATGGACACAGACAATTGGGTGCTGAAGGCCTGGGTTGGGGGTTGGGGATTGGAGGCTGGAGGGGTCAATGGGAGAAAAAAGAGGACATGTGTAATACCTTCAACAATAAAGATTTTTTTTAAAAAGAAAAAGAACTTACATGTATGCATATGGAGAAAGAGAGAAAGCAAACATAAGATATTAAACATATAAGAAAACTGGGTAGAAAGTATGTGGGAAATTGTCCTATTTTTGTAACTTTCTGTAGGTATGAAATCATATAAAAACAAGAAAAGACTTAATTGCATGTTCCCTACTAAAGCAAACTAAATATAGGAAATACCGATCTCCTTGTCCAAAGGTGTGGCTGGAAAAAGGGAGCCTTCTTGGGAGCTCTGGGAATGCGGCTGGTTCTGACAGTGGTCAGTGTGATTCCTTAGCTCATCTGACTTTTAGTATAAAAAGACTGAGTCCTGACCTTGTGAACTGCTTTAGAAGAATAGTACACAGCACAGTTTTCCTACACCATTAGCTTTGTCAGTTCAAAAGATACTGTGAGATAAAACAGCTAATGTAAGGGCCCAGACTAAACTGAATGAAAGGTTTAAGGTGAAAACAAACCTCATCTCTTGCCTATATTTACCCCATCCCTTTCAAAAGGAAACATTGTAAAAGATAAGTAAAAAAGAAAATGAAGTAAATCAAGTACTATGAATAGGTAAAGTCATCCTATCTAATGAAGAGGAAATATGCCAGCGTCTGTGGCCCAGGAAATAGGTTCCCTCTTCTCTCACTGCAGTCATTACTCCAATATTCCCCTTCTGAATTTCTCTCTGCTGCCCCAACCCAACTCCACTTTTCATCTGAAGGACGGGGAACAGAGAGCAGTGTTAAAAGCTTACATTTTTAAGCAGGTAAGGGTGGTACTTAAACATATAAGTGGAAAACTAGAGTCCTTAAGGTAACAAAGGGAACAGGGATAGGGCAAGACATAGTGTATCCATCCAGCAATCCATGTGGGGACTGAAAACTTTGCAGTGATGACAATCAGGGAAGATATTAATCAACTATAATATTGAGAGGGAGAATTCTTCCATCTTTAAAAATATCTATATCTATGGGGGAGATAGGAGATCAAGCAAAACTAATGGACGAAAAACTCTGGGGAGGAGGGCATGTATGGGAGTGGGGGTGGGTGGGGATTGGTAAGGTATGTACACATATAATACCTTAATAAGAAAATGAGAAAAAAAATATCTATATCAAGTCTGTTTAAATATATTTTCATCTGCATAATATTACACATTCTGACAAGACCACCACCACCAATGTGGTCAGTGTTGTGCTGGTAAATGTTTAACAACTGGCTTTCAATCAAAGAAAACAAAACCCTGACTTATAGTATCGTCAATTTCTCTGGCATAAATTCTCCATCCATGGCTGATTTCAGCTGCTAATGTGATGCCACTAAATGCAGAGCTGAGGAGAAGCATGCAGTGAAACACTTATATTCCACCAGAAAGACCCAAAAGATATAAATAATGTCAAGAGTCAGAACAGTAAAGTGTAGTAAATAACTGAGGAGTGATGGATTTAGAGTACGTATTACCTTTGGTTTTAATGTAATTTATTCACTTTTAAGATTATATAATTTAATTTTTAATAATGAACATTTTTAACAACAAGCTTACAAAATTCTTGAAAATTTGTGAGCCAGTAAGAGCAGGCTCCAGCACAATACTGAGTGGAGTATAATGGTTCAAGGGCTTGGCTCATGGATTTAAAACGAGATTCAGCCACTTTCAGATTTTACTGGTAAAGTTATCTGATCTCTCTATACCTCAGTGTTCTCATCTGTGTAATTATAGTACCTACTGTATAGAGTTGTTGCAAAGATAAAATGAAATCTGTGTATGACACAACACAGCACCTGAAACAATAGTTCACTCAATTTGTTATTACCTCAAAACATTGTTGACAAAATTACTCTTTTCATGCTGAAAGAATGAAATTTTATTGATGAGAAAATACCTTATTTTGCGATCTACATGGAGACAGTCAGTTTGCTTCCTAGGCAATAGATGGTAATCTACTACTAGAAACTGAAAGGGGGGAAATGACCTCAATCAACATGATTGACGCAATGTATTATTAGCTGGATCATAGAGCAGAGAAGATGCCAGGCATTCTGGGATACGTCTGCAGTAAGAGGCTTCACCTCAGGTATTAATTCTGATCAAGTAAGCATCAGACTTAACATGAATGGTGAGAAGGATTCTGACGCTGCTTCCAGTTACTATGGTTAATGATGGAGATTAAAAAAAAAATGATCTATACTAAAAAAAGGATAACATGCTAATTATACTGGACATCTTCCGGAGGAACACCTGCACATCCTTCCTGACAAAGCCGGGCCTGGGCAAAGCCGCCTGCTGGCAGTCCCGGGCACCTGCGGCTGTAGCCTGGGCGAAGCCACCTGCCCACCATCCCCTGCGGCTGCAGCTGGCCCAGGCGAAGCTGGCTCGGGTCCTGGGTGGAGGTGGGAAGAGAAGGCACCCTTCATATACCGAAACTCAACCAAAGTCACTGCTTCCCTAACGCCCTTGCCCTATCCCAGCTCCGGGCCCACATGTCTGCCCTGCTAGCTCCCTCAACTTCTTATGGAGAGGAGGGGGATGAAGATATGGAGAATGGTGGCACCCCTTCCTGCCTCTGGGCTCCTTGCCTAAGAGAATTGCTCATTCAGCCTGCCCTGTCAGGAGGTCAGGAAGACAAGGCGCGAGCAGAGGAACAATTGTGCCCTTCACCGCCCCTCCTGACACTCTATTCCTCCCTGGCCCTTCACATGAGGTTGCAATGCTTGGCTGGATTCTTGTGTATCTCGCCTTTGTTCCTGTTCCCACAGTCTGGCCTTTCTGCCAGATGGCTGAGCAGATTGCTGCAGTCCCAGGTGTGAGTCCTTACAGCAGCTACCTATGGTCACTGCCAAATGAGGCCACGCTGGTCACATGAAGACATCCCTGACACTGTGCTCAGAGGACGGGAAGAGCACTCAATGTAGGACACGGTCCCCACCTGCTTGGCAAGCACAGTGCCCTGCTCATGCGCAGCAGAGATAAGCCACTGTTTGGACAGCTTTCCCCAATGTGGCCAGGTCAGTCCACACGTCTGGCTTATAGCCAACCAGCACAACCTTGGCATTGGGGCAAAATTCCTGAGTCTCCCTGTCACTTCTTAAGGACACTGTTCAGTGTTTCTTTTTGGCTGCTGAAGCAGATGAGCACACGTCTGAATTAGGAGAGGCCACAGGCCAGACAATATCACAGGAAGAGGAACCTGAAGTATCCCACAAGTTGAGCTCAATGCGCACTTGTCTGCCGTAAAGCTCACGGTGTAGTTCGCAAACATGGTGGGACGTAACTCCCAGGGGAGGTGTCCTTGGCAAACACCCAAAGGAGCGCCGTCTTGCCACATTCCCCGAATCCCCCAACATGATGGTGCAGCAGCGGGTCTGCCCCAACATGGGCCAGAGCCGTACCTGGCACAGCTCTACCTGCCAGGCCTCACGGTAGACACCGGCATTGCCACATCTCTAGGACCATGCTAAGCCTCCACCCAGGCTATTGCGCCTCCTCTGCTGCATCCCCAACCCCTTAACATTTCCTGGGACACACTGGTTTGCCATGGCAACTGATTTTCTGTTAGCAATTCTCCTCTCTTCATGAACCTAAATGTGGAGTTGCCAAAAGAAGAGAAATAGATCATAAACATGAGCTTTGTTGCCCAATTGCTTTCATTCTCCCTGGAATGGGGAGGCAATTTCAGGAATAAACTCTTTAAACATGCGGAGAATGGCCTCCCTTCTTGTCCAAGGAACTCAATACATATATATGCAAGATATCACTATTTATAAATCTAATCAAAGAAGATGTTAAAAGTTCTTGTTAGTCTGGCCAATGTGGCTCAGTGGTTGAACATCGACCTATGAAGCAGGAGGTCACGGTTTGATTCCTGGTCAGGGCACAAGCTCAATTTGCAGACTCGATCCCTAGTAGGGGGTGTGCAGAAGGCAGCCAATCAATGATTCTCTCTCATCATTGATGTTTCTCTCTCTCCTTCCCTCTCCCTTCCTCTCTGAAATCAGTAAAAATTTGAAAAAGAAAAGAAAGAAAAAAGTTCTTGTTAATGCCCCCTTTCAAACCAACCTGCTCTTTAAAGCCAGACTCATGGCTCTAGCAATCTCTATGAAGTCTCTTCTGTGGCTCTGAAAGGGGGGAAGAAACTTCTCTCATTTACCACTTCTAGGCCAAGAGAAATTACTTTTGGCTCAGGGTTTCAGTGGGGGTCTGAGTGTGATGGAGTAAATTAAAGAATGACTCAGCAGAATGGGAATAGATTAAGTCACACTGTGTGCTGGGATGGAAACTCCCTACGACTGGCAAGCATCAACACAAGAAAGTAAGTGCAACTGGGACAGAAACCTTATGTAACAAGACAGACGGAGAGAGCTTCTCACCAGGAGGGAACCGCCGTAAGGACCGCCTGACATCCAGCAGCACTTGTTGGTAGTCCTTGCTCATCTGCCGTAGGTTTTCCCCTATTGGAGGAAGAGGAACATGTCATTGCAGGAATGTCTGGGAAGCCAGATCAGGAACAAAATATTGTGGTATTACACCAAGGCCAGGAGGACGTGGCTTAAAATAGGATTGGAGAGAAATCCTAAGTTTAATTGCAAACATGCAGTCTTGACGCGCTAAGAGGAAGGATCGCATTGTCCAGGAGGTAATCGAGTTAGGTGGAAAAGCTGCAGAGAAGACGGGAGGCCAGGGGCCTCCTGTGTTGTCACTGAAGTTTAAAGTCCACATCTATAAATGGCAATATTCCCTTCCACCATGTACCTTTCAGGTTACTGTAGGGATCAAATAGGCCAGAGGCTTCCTGTGGCATCACTGGGGAACTGCTCTGAATTTCAAAGTCCACATCTATAAAAATGGCATTGTTCCCATCTATAATATTCCTCTCAGGTTACTGTAAGGATCAAATAAGGTCATAAATGTGGAAACCATGGACCACTAAAAAAACTCTTAACATATGTAAAGTCTAGGAAGCACTGAGCTGTTAGGAAAGGAGTATTAAAATAAACTCATATAAAGGAGAACCTAACTTGTCTTGACCCAGAAATTGTAAAGCTAACACACTGCAAACAGGACATTTTATTTCTGTCCAGGTGATAAGCCCAATACAGTGTGAATGCAAGGAGGCAGTCTCTAGCTGTTATATATACACGTATATAACAAGTGTACATTACCCTCAACCCAAACTGAGTGTTGTGTAACAAGTCTATTAATACATTTCCTTCACAAACCGATATCAAAAGTTAACAGAGGAGCCTGGGCAAAACTTCCCCTCACAAACTTCATCTTATAAAGATAGGGAAATCTGGAATCTGATAGAAGAATACCATCTCAGGATTCAGAGTGTGAACATGCTAATGCCTTTTCCTCCCAACAAAAGGCAGCTCCAAGGAGCCAGCTTCAAATATTAAACAAGTGGCAACTTTACACCTACTTGCTGCACTATGACACTGTGAACTTTTATTGGCAGAGGCTGTCTTAATTATCTCCAGTATCTGGCACACAACAGGAGCACAACTAATGTCTTCCGAATGAGTGAAAGAATCCCCAAGAGCCAGACTTTTGCCATACATAGCAATAAAGCAATAAGTGTTTGTTGAATGAATGACAAAATGTGTTCATTGTGCCGAAGCCGGTTTGGCTCAGTGGTGGAGTGTCGGTCTGCGGACTGAAAGGTCCCGGGTTCGATTCCGGTCAAGGGCATCTACATTGGTTGTGGGCACCAGGAGGCAGCTGGTCGATGTTTCTCTCTCATCGACATTTCTAGCGCGCGCGCTCGCGCTCTCTCCCTCCCTCCCTCCTTCTCTCCCTCCCTCCCTCCCTCCCTCCCTCCTTCTCTCCCTCCCTCCCTCCCTCCCTCCCTCCCTCCCTCCCTCCCTCCCTTCTTCTCTGTAAAAAATCAATAAAAATATATTTTTTAAAAAAATGTGTTCATTGTTCTGTAGTACTTCTATCTGTAATCTACGCTATATTCCAAGGAATTCCTTTTACCACACAGGCCTTGCAGATTAAAGTTATAGCTTTTCACAGAACTACAGAATTTCAGAATCCAAAAGGAGCATAGTATTTCCCAATAAAAATTCTTTTTAAAAAAAAAAATGTATTTTTATTGATTTCAGAGAGGAAGGGAGAGTGAGAGAGAGAAACATCAATGATGAGAGAGAATCACTGAATGACTGTCTGTCTCCTGCACACCCCCTACTGGGGATCAAGTCGGCAACCTGGGCATGTGCCCTAGACCGGAATGGAACCTGCGAGCCTTTACTCCATAGGCCGACACTATCCACTGAGCAAAACCTGCTAGGGCTTTTGTGTTTGTTTTTTAAATTCATTTTTAAAATATATTTTATTGATTTTTCATAGAGAGAAAGGGAAAGGGAGAGCCAGAAACACTGATGAGAGAAACATCGATCAGCTGCTTAATGCACACCCCACACTGGGAATGTGTCTGCCTGCAATCAAGGTACATGCCCTTGACCGGAATCAAACCTGGGACCCTTTAGTCCACAGGCCAATGCTCTATACATTGAGCCAAACCGGTTTCGGCTTTTTTTTCCCCTTTTTTAAAAATATTATTTCTCCCCATAGCCTGCTTCTCAAAATGTAATTTATCTACATCAGAATTAGGTGGAGTGCTTATTAAAATACAGATTCCTACAACCAATCTTTAAGTGAATATGGACTGGAATATGTATTTTTGAAAAAATACATTATTTTTGTTGTTGTTGTTATTAATCCTCACCCGAGGAATTTTTCCATTGATTTTTAGGAAGAGTGGGAGAGAAAGGGAAAGACAAAAACATAAATGTGAGAAAAACATAACTGGTTGCCTCCCACACAAGCCCCGACTAGGGCGCAGGCCAGGGAGGAGACTGTAACCAAAGTACATGCCTAATTCAGAATTGAACCCGGGACCCTTTGGTCCACAGGCTAATGCTCTATACACTGAACCAAACCGGCTAGGGATGTTTTAATTGATTTCAGAGAGAGAAAGAGAAAAAGGGAGAAGAGAGATAGAAACAAAAATGAGAGAGAATCATTGACTGCCTGCTTTCTGCCCCACCCCTACTGAGGACTGAGCCCAAAACTTGGGCATATGCCTTACCCAGGAATTAAGTCTGATCTCCTTGGGATTACTGAACCACACGGGCCGGGTTGGAATATACATTTTTAATAAACTTCTCTACCTTGCCAATAAAAGCTCATTCCATTTTTGAATAAAATTCTACTTATTAGTTTGGCCTTATTTTCAGAGTTGGACCAATCATATCCCCAAATGCTTTAGATTTACTCATCTACTCCTGGTTTGACATTGGCATAAAAATCAAAGATTCTGAAATTCTTTTCTCCTTGCCTCCTAAATAAGCTCCTCTCCCTGTACTCCCCATCTTACCTGATACAGGAGGTGGGTCACTGGTGTTGACATTGAGGAGCTTGGGCCACACTTTTCGTCTCATCTCATCAGTTAGGAGCCCTCCTTCACTAATAGCCATGCGTCTAAGGGCAGCCACGTCAGTGGGATCACTGTTCAGAGCCTGGTATATCTTGGCTACTTTCTTTTTCCTTTTGGCATTAAAGCCTGCAAAACAAACAAACAGACAACACACAGGGGTTGGGGGGGCATTAGGCACATATTCAGCATGTGTACATTTTCTATTTAGGGCTCAATCTCCTTATTTGGTCTGAGGTATAGGGAGGTACATTTAAAGCCAACCTACAGATATTTAATTAGCACATTATGTACAAAACACCAAGGAGATATGTCATATAAGTAATCAGCAAGAAATTATAATAAATGCTCAGTAAATTCAGGCATATCTGTTACTGTTAATGTTTTCCTAAATGAATGCCTGTTCTTTCTTAATATATATCTCTTAATATTTTTCCTGTTGTTTATAGAGGAAAAATGTATATACATGCCACCAAAATTCAATAATACATTTTAAAACAAAACCACAAAAGTTCCCAGTTACTGATAAAATATCAAAATCATAGAAATATTTTCAAAATCAGAATGTCAAAGGGCATACTTGGGTCTCCAGTGTGGGTGGTAAGAGAGGCATGACACTACACACAAAACAATTGTTGTACCCCCCCATTACCTCCCTCCCCCCAAAACTACTATTTTTTAAAAACAGTATTAATTAATGTGATCAGGAAGTTATGTTTTAAGCATCTTACATCCTTATGTGATAGTTTGTTATTTATACTTAAGCATTTTACTGTGTTAGAAAATTAGAGAATTTGTGGTTGTTTATCTTATTATTCTATTTAAAATAATGGAGTAACAGGCTCTTAGAGTTTTCAGGCAGAATGTCTAATTTTAAGAACAGCAAACACAACAAAAGTTAAACAGACATCATAAAAGAGATGCCACAAATAAGTACACTATAACTGCAAAAAAAAAAAAAAAAAAAAAAAAAAGGAATGTGCAGACACTAAGAGCTCAGAGAATGTTGTGAGACAGACTAAACTGAGGAAGCATTAGCAAAGAGTATAATTTACAAAGGAAAAGGAGGGCCTGGCCAGGCAGCTCAGTTGTTTATCATCCTACACACCGAAATGCTATAGGTTCAACTTCTGGTTAGGTCACATATCACTGGCCACACCCCCATGATTGGGTAAGTAATCTGCCAGGTTGCGGGTTCTATCCCCAGTCAGGCGCGTCTGGGGAGGCAGCAGATTGATGTTGCTCTCTCTTTCTCTCTCCCTTTCTCTCTTTCTAAAACCAATAAAAGCATGTTTTCAGGTGAGGATTTAAAAAAATATATAATAAAGTTAGTATGTTTTTAAAAAAAAACAGGAAAAGGAGGATTTCAAGAGGCTGGAAGAGAGGCAGAGAGCAGAAAAAAGCTTGGAGACAGGAAACACAAGGTCCTTTCCTTTAATAGTAAACAGATAATTGAAAATACGTATGTAGCATACATTAGATGTAAGGCACTGGAGTAATAGAAGGGGAAGATAAACACTAGAAAGTAAGTTAGGCTTTAGAGAAGATTAACGGAAGAGAGATTAGGTTCAGAAGGGGTCACTTTCTAAACAAGCGTCTTCCTCAATAATTTTCTAATCTGAGGTAACAGTCTACAAATTGTTTCCATGACAAAACTGCACATTATTAACACATGGTACCTAGTGGTCATGTTACTTACTTAGGAGAGCTGTGACATAAATTAACTGCTTTAGAGTCACATGCAATTGGAGGTGCAGACAGGAAAATGACACAGGTCACTTTTCACTTAGGTAAACCTGTTCTGCTGTCTAGAATGTTCTTTCCCCTGGTAACCTAGTAAAGTGATCACCTCTTTCAAGTTTGAGAGATTCCTGGCTCACGCCTATAATTCTGGCATAATTGTTCGTAGCAAATCCCTCCTGCTATCTGTACTTTCAAAAATGTCCCAGCTTGAATGCTAAATTAAATGGTTACTCTATCTAGAAATCATAAAAATTAAGTCCCAATTTCGTCTCTCAGCATTCACCTAACTAGTTAAATGTTTATTTACAAGGTGCTTCATGCTCTTGGCTTGAGTGTATCTGTCCATCTGTCCATCTATCCACTTGCCCATTAGTCCATACATTTATTAGCCTATCATTTAATGAACATCTATTTATAAAAAGCACTGTACTAGAATAAAAATATTAATTTGACTCCAGCACTGGAGAGGTTCACAGTAGTACAAACAATTATACCTGATATAACAGAATTGTGAAACTCCTGAGGAAAGAATAACTACTTCTCATGCAATCAGGAAAGGCTTTGCCAAGAATATATGTGGTGTCTTCTTAAAGAAAACTGCACATGGAAGAGTGGTTGAAGGGAGAGCATTCCAGGGAGAGGAGTTACATGAAAGACATATCATGTTCAGAAAACAGAGAGATACTTCTATGAGGCTGAAGTGTTAGGTAAAAGAAGAGGACACTGGCTTGAAGGACTGTGGTGTGGGCTGATTTATCCCACACTTGGGAAAGACAGGGCCGAGGAGCCATCCTTTGGAAGAGAAGAGGGATCACAGAGAAGACACAGAGAAGACTTTTTAAAAAATATTTTTTTAAATTGATTTCAGAGAGGAAGAGAGAGGGAGAAACAGAAACATCAATGATGAGAGAGTATCACTGACCAGCTGCCTCCTGCATGCCCCTCAATGAGGATTGAGCCCATAACCCAGGCATGTATCCCCGACTGGAATCGAACATGGGACCCATGAGTCCGCAGACCAACACTCTACCCACTGAGACAAACCAGCTAATGCGAGAAGACTTTTTATTTAAAATATGAGCAAGAATTGAATTAATTTCCAACAAAGAATATAAAGTACCAGATAGCCTGTAAGGTTTTTTTTTTTTTTTTTTTTTTACATAAGAGTTTCCTTGTATTTTCTACACATCATAAATTAAGAACAATTAAATGGTAATATGAATACTATTTGAGAGAAGCTGACTTTTGAAATCTTGTTAACCTACTTACTAAGAGTGTAGAAAAATTTCCTTCATTTGTTTAAACATATATTCACCCTGCCCCTCTTTCCAAGTAAGCTATTCATTCAGCAATCTGGGGGAAAGGAAAATCCTTGCTTGTATCTTGAAGGAAATAACACTGTTTGCAATCATCTGGATTTCTATTACGTTTGGGTAAGTAATATGCCAGAATTTTTACTATTTCTAAACCCAAACCATAGCTTTTGTACTTAGTTCTCTTAACACAGTTCCAATTCTATTTTTAATCCTGCATTACAAAATTTATCACTACCTTCTGGTTTTTGGTGTTCTGTGGGAACACAGTAAGTATATACAGAATAGAATAAAAAGCTAGCTTAGCTATTGTTCCTTTGGAAACACTGGCCTATAATAAATGACATAATTTTGCCCATACTACTGCTAAGAATATGCTTACTACACAACTCTAAACACAGTCATGTGCTAATTAACATGGATACGTTCTGAGAAATGCATTGTTAGGCAATTTCGTTGTGTGAGCATCAGAGTGCACTTACACAGACCTAGATGGTATAGCCCACTATGCACCTGGACTACATGGTATAGCTTTGTAAATGCAGTCCCATCACTGACTGACACTGTTATGTAGCATATGACTGTCGAGATGCAGATTCTTTGGCCTTTTTTTAAAGCTACCGGTACTTCTCAGAGTTGGATGCTGTTCAAATGTGAGGTCTGTTCAGGCCCCAATATCACCTTCCTCAATCCCACAGTTGAGTGATCAAGTATTAATGGCAGATAAAGAAGGCACTCCTCAGTGTGTCCCCACCCCACATTTATTACACTTAATATATAAACTTCCATTGTGACATAAAAAGGGAAGAGAAAACAGAAAACTCAAGTAAGCTAGAAATGTATAGATTATAGAATGATAAGGTCAACTGCTAGATTACACAAAGAGGGGGAAAAAGATTAGCAGAGTCTCAATTGAAACTAATTTACATGTATCCTCTTCATCTCAGAGAAAAATTATAGAACTGTTCTTGAGATGTTCAGGAAAATAGAAAAGTTAATGCCTACTATCTAACTTTAAGATAAATTTTATATATGGATTTTGGGGTGGGACACACACTTCCTGACTCCAGAATGCTAATATTGGGCTTGGTATAAAAGCCCACATTTCATTAGGAAGTAGTATATATGTAATCCCAATTCCCCGAGTCCTTTCTTTTCCAATTCCTTTTTGCCCCCTTATAAGAGAGATGTATTACATATTCCAAAGTTGAGACTTTCCAAATTCCTTTACAGTAAGAGATCTTGGCTATGATAACCATGACAGAATGAAATGATTATCCTCCAATTGGCTGCAAAATATAAGACACTGCTATAAATAAATCCTTGATGCCTGAAAAGCAATTAATTCAATACAGGAAAAAATGATAGAGGCACTACTATTTGGCCTACTCTCCATTAAAACAATCATTTTAATAAGGGCACTGAAGCAGCAGTTCTTAACAGTTCAGATAAAAGATGGATGAGCCCGTTATTGTTTCAAATATTTCCCAACTCTGGCTACAAGAACCCAGGTAAAGATTTCTGCCTCCTCAGAGAAACAGGTTATCTCCAAAAACACCTGGCTTGGGAACTGGATATACAGGGAAAGGAAAAGGACTAAAGATGAACACTAGCTGTTTCCTCTAAAAGTTTTTCCATATCAGCAAAATATAATACACATTAATGGCTATATCAGGTAAAAGTTCTCCATACTTAATTGGTTTAAGTACAAAATTCCATACTTCCTTGGTTTAAGCTTGCACATCAAGAAATCTTTGCAGTCTTTAAATAGAAGTTAAACTCAAACTAAGCAACGTTAGCCTTAATCAAACAATGAAAGAACTAATCAGAGAGAGAGGGAGAGATCCATCCCCTCAGACAGATATTGCCCTACCCCACTCTTTGAACTCTTGATGTTGATATTGAAAATTAACTTAAGTCTCAGCCCATTTGGCTCAGTGGATAGAGCGTCAGCCTGCGAACTGAAAGGTCCCAGGTTCGAGTCCAGTCAAGGGCACAGGTTGATCCCCAGTAGGGGGCGTGCAGGAGGCCAGCTGATCAATGATTCTCATCATTGATCAGTTTCTATCTCTCTCCCTTCTCCTTTCCTCTCTGAAATTAATTAAAAACAAAAAAAGAAACCTTAAAATTTTATGCTTGAACTTTATATCTGTACTGGAGAAGACAGTGGGAGAAGAAAACCTCACCTTTTTCTGAGTAAGGTTCCTATTAAAAACTAAATAAAACATAGTATTGTTTTTGGAGGTCCTATTTAGTTTCAACGAACAGTACCAGAGTTAGCAGAGATTCATTACTGAAACATAAAAACAAGTGTGCATTAAGAAAGACTGCTTTACCTCAACATTGCAGAAAAATATTTTAGAACATAAACCATGACCTCTACAAAGGAGAGCTTCCAGTGTTAATAACTGTCAATTCTCCAATATGATTAAAACCACGACGAAAACGAACAGGGAAAAAACCCACAAAACAAAACAAAATAAAAATACTCTGATTTCTAAGTTCCTCCCATTCATCCAGAGAAATAAAATGAAGGCAGAGTCTCAAAACAATTGCACGACAACAGATCACAAGACCTGTACCACTTGGGGCATGGACTACCATGCCATGAAGACGGATGTCATTCACCATCAAAGGGTCACAAGGCCAAAGGGCGCAGGGAAGTAATATGATGAGCGAGTGCCACTTCCATCCAGGACGAGAGCAGGAGAAAAGGGGGATATCAGAAAACGAGTCCAGAGAAACAAGGTGTGGATACCAGGTGCTTCATCGTAATATGTGGGCTGAATATGTCAACTGGTTCTAGTATGGACACCACTCATTAGAGGATGAAGAAGTGGGAAAGCTAATTATCTTCCCCGGAGGAAAAAAAGAGATTATTTTACTTGGTACAGAATAAACAAGAACACTTTTAGCAGTCATCTCTCACTATGTAAAACACATTTGAAAACAATGCACAATGAAATCATGATTTCACAGGAATATACTGCTTAGGATGAAACAGTATAAAAATAGGAAATAGCTTTTTACACAATTAAATAACATGAACACAGGTGGGACGGGATAGAGACATAAACTAGATTAGTGTCCGCCAGGAACCGTGGAGGGAGATTGGGGAATGGGCAGTCAGTCCATCATGGGGCTTTCTTTTTGGAATATTCACGTTCTGGAATTAAACAGTGGTGATGATTGCACCGCCCTGAGAGAGCACTAGGCACCCCTGGACGGTGCACTTTCAAAGGATTGGATGCTGTGGCAATTCAAAGAAATGTGTGCTCACTCATACCACGGAAGTCAAGACGGCGATCGATGAGGTCTGGAAACCTGCCTTACAACTAGGGAGGCGGCAGGAGTCTGCGGACGTGGCCGGACAGTCTCGGGCCGGGGGAGGCTGAGCCCCCGTTTTCAGACCCAGTTCTCCCGTTCAGACGCCACCGAGCCGAGTCCCCGCGTCCTTCCCACACCACGGCTCCTCCGGGCTCCGCATCCGTGGACCCCCTAACCTAAGGCTCTCCTTCCCTTCGGCCTTTTCCTCTCCCGCCGCCCCGGCCCTCGGCCCTCGGCCCTCGGCGCACCCAGGTGGCCCGTCCAGCGCCGCTGGCGCCGGGACCCGCTCCGCCGACAGCTGTCCCCGTCTCCTAGGGTCGCCCCTGTCCCTCGGGCCGTCCTCGCAGGCCACCCCTCGACGCCCCGGCCGGCTTCCGTACCTGCCGTCTCCGCGCCGTCGTCGTCCCAGTGACTGGAGGTGGGGTCGTCGCCCTGCGCCCTGGGGGAGGCCATGTCCCGGGGGCCCGGGCGCGGGCCCGAGCCCCGGCTGGTGGCGGAGCCGAGGGAAAACGCGCCCGCACTTCCCGGCAGGCCCGGCTCCGTAGCCCGCTGCGCGCAGGCGCCTAGGCAGCTGCGCACGGGCCCCGCCCCCGCCCCGGCACGTGACCGCTCGCTCCGCGAGTACGAGCGTCGGCTCCGGGCAGGCGCGCAGGCGCCCTAAGCGGAGGGAAAGCGCAGGGGGCGCCCCGAGCGAGTTCCTCCAGGAGTCTATAGAGCGCGGCGCTCTTGAGCAAACGCGTTCCGGACCAGGTTTTGTCATGTATTTTGCTTTTCTTATTTGTAAAGTGGTACTGATACGAATGAGAGTACTGAGCTCAGAGTTATTGGGAAAGTGCTTGGCGTACTACCAAGCATATAGTAACTGCTTCACAATTAAAAGCTCGTGTTTTTGCGTACAAGGGTTTCACCTCTTGTCTCACCTGCCCTCATACTTGGCGACTTCAGGCTTTTATCAGAACCCTTTTATGTGGTTCCGCAGGCTGTTCTCTGCACAACGCCAGGAGGCGCCTTCCACACAGACGATTATGTGACCAGTGTCCCCCTTTGAATTGTACAGAATGGCCACTCATTCAAGATACACATGTCTTGTCAGATCTTTGACCACTTTCTCTTCTCCCGATGACAGGGCTTTCTCTCCAATTGGCCACACTTTCCCTCGGTCACACCCCTATGGTTGAGGCCAGAAACTGCCCACACACCTCAAGTTCCCTAGATTCCGGATACTGGATGACCCCTACCAAAACGGCTCTTTATTCTCTCCGGACATCTAGCCCACTAGGTTTACTACTGGCCTCCCTAGCTTTCATGCCCATCCTGTTCAATTCAAATTCCATGGTCTAGCCCTAACCGGTATGGCTCAGTGGATAGAGGATTGGCTTGTGGACTCAAGGGTGCCAGGTTCAAATCCAGTCAAAGGCACATCCCCAGTAGGTGTGCAGGAGGCAGCTGATTGATGTTTCTCTCTCATCCTGTTTCTAACTCTCTATCCCTCTCCCTTCTTCTCTGAAAAAAATCAATAAAATATATTTTTTAAAATTCCATGGTCTATCTAACATTACAAATCATTTTTAAAAAAGGTTCTCTGCATAGGTTTCATGAGCAGAAACGATTACTTTGAGGTTAATTTGATTTTTAAAATGAATATTCAATTTAACATTAGAAATCGCCAAATCTAGTTTTCTTAATTTCAATGAACAAATTTTACAATTCCATTCATAAATCTAGTCAATTCCCATTAATAAACTTGATTAATTAAATTCCTTTTGAAGATTTGAAATTGCATTTATAAATTTAATAATTCACTTTTCTAAGTATCACAACTTTCTAACAAAGCCTTTTGAGTTTTTATGTAATTCTTGTGACTGAAATAAACTTACATTGACTGGCCAGATTATTATGATCTCTGAATACATAATAATCTGGCAATTCAGTGTGCGTGTGTGTGTGTGTGTATAACACACACATATATATATATATTAGAGCCCTGACGCATGAATTTGTACATGGGTGGGGTCTGGCCAGCCTGGCCACAGGGAGTGGACATGATTAGTTGGCTGGCCTGCCTACTGGTCAAACTCCTGGTGGAGGGGACATATTAGCCTTTTATTATATAGGATATACACTGAGTGGCCAGATTATTATGCATTTAGAGATATAATAATCTGGCCACTCAGTGTATATGTTAAGTCATGAGTTCTTTTAAATGTGTTAATACAAATTTAATAAGACTTTGACTTAAAATCACAAGTCAAATCTATTATTCAAATACATGTTTGTAATCAGTACAAGAATCTTAGAATTTCCAAAATTATCTTAAATATTATAAGACTTTAATATTGATGTTTTGGAATTGCTTAATGCAAAAATATTAGTACTGTGAGTCTAAAACATGTCTAGTCGCGATTCTGAATTGTAGTTGAGGTTAAAAGATGCTTATTGTCCTAAAGAATCGTCTTTCCAATTTGGGAGTAATATATTCAAGCAATTTGGGGCATTTATTTCCTTGTTACTGTGCTGGCTGGTGGATTCTTGCCTATAGTAATGATGGGACAAGGACCTGCTCTCCTCCCCATCATCACAATTTTAGGGCTAAGCAGTATATTGTTGTTGTGAGGCTTGGGCTAGCTCTCATTCTCTGTAAAACAAGTGACTGGCTCTCAGGGGGAGGAAAAAAAAGGGTCATGCAACTCCCTGGTGCTTAGCAAGATGAATGGAGATAACCAATTCCTGTCCCAGGCTGATAACCAAGTTGTGTGCAGCACATTACAGTTCATTACCAGGAACTCTATGTCAGCATGATCAGTTATTTTGCCTCATAATTCCTAATGCTCTCTTTGAAAGGAGATCTAGGTGGCAAATGAGAATTGTTTAAAATAATGAATTAACATTTATTTAAAATGTATTCTTTAGAAAACGATTTCAGAAAGAGGAAGAGAAACACCAATGAGAAATCATTGGCAGGTTGCTTCCTGTACGCCACCCATTGGGGATTGAGCCCGCAATCTGGAGCATGTGCCCTGACTGGGAATAGAACAGTGACCCCCCTGGTTCATGAGTCAATGCTCAAACACTGAGCAACACTGGCCGAGGGACTTGGGAATTAAAAAAAAAAAAAAAAGCCTGCCTGGATCAATAGAAATGAGCTTACTCAAGCATGGTAATGGTCATGTCCATTGCCTTGTTACCTGAGCTTGGAGCTTGTAGGTAAGCCAGAGCTTGCTGGGCTGGTCTGCCAAGCACATTAGGAAGCACATGTATCTTGGAAAATCCCAAATCACAAACATGTAGATTACTGAACCCATTTGTTTGTTCAACAAATATTCCTGGACCTTAACCAGTCCAGCCCCGTGCTAGGACCAACATAATGAAGCTTTCTTCTCTACCTTCCTGGATAGCTCAGGCTGTTAGGGAGATGGACTTTTCAAATATGAGGTGAAAAGTTCTAGAACGGGGGGAAGAAGCTTAAGGAGGTTGTAGAAGCCCAAACAACACACAGGGGTGATGAAGGAAAATTTCTAAACTTTTATAGAGGGGTGGGAGCAGTCAGTCAAGTTGGTGCAGGGAAGAGCAATTTAGCTGAGAAAATAGCACAGGTACTGTCATGAAGCTGAGAGAAAGCAAATCGGTCTAGAAAGCGTGCTTTAGTGTTCTTATAGCACAGTATGAAAGAGAAAGTGGACTTTGACACTAGTGAGGGCAGACGTGTGTGCTGGAGGTCAGGCAGGGTCTCTCGGGAGTTTGGACTGGATGAAGTCAGCAGGGTAGAATTAAATGTTTAGCAGTGAAGGTGGTCTTTGATGTCACCTATTTTAATCTTCATTTCCAATACAAGGATCACCTTTACTTATCCCTACAGCTGCTTACCAAACCCATGTTAGGCTGTAACAGATCCTCTTCCCCTTGAGTTGGGCAGCACTTTTGAATATGATGGGATTTTACTCTTGTGATTAGGTGATGCTGTAAGGCAAAGATGAAGAGATTTGCAGATAACACCAGGCTCCCTAAAAAGGGAGTTTGACCTGGGTAGACCTAATCAGATGATTCACTTAAAAGAAGCTGGGGGCCTTCTCTGAAAGAGAAATTCAAAGCCGCGATTCTCCTGTTGCTTTTTAAGAAATGAACTCCCATGTTGTGGAGAAGGCCAAACAGGGGATAGCAGGCAGCTTCTGGAGTGGAGGGCCTCAGTCTTATACCAAAAGAACTAAATGTGGGCAACAGTAAGCTTGGTGAGACCTGAGTAAAGGACCCCTCTAACCCACACTTGGATACCTGCACTGCAAAAACTAAGATAATTAAATTTGTGGTATTTTGTTACACAACAAGCAACTGAAAAATCTCACCCTCAAAAAAGCTCAGGTGCCCTGACCGGTTTGGCTCAGTGGATAGAGCATCAGCCTGCGGATTGAAAGGTCCCAGGTTCAATTCTGGTCAAAGGCAATTTACCTTGGTTGCAGGCACATCCGCAGTAGTAGGTGTGCAGGAGGCAGCTAATAGATGTCTCTCTCTCATCCTTTGTTCCTAGCTCTCTATCCCTCTCCCTTTCTCTCTGTAAAAAATCAATAAAATATATTAAAAAAAAAAAAAAAAAGCTCAGGCAAATTTATTGCCTCACATAACTGAAGTTCTTGCCCTTCTGCATTCCCCTTCTCCACTTCTCAGCTGCCCACCTCTTCTCGTTGACTGAATTACAACCCCACATAGGCCTTCGGGGTCTTAATACAACCCTGGCAGCCTTGTCGCACCATACTTTCTACACCAGACTGTGAATACTTTAAATTCTTAGTCTCAGCATTTCCAAGAAGAGTGTTTGTCTTACTGTCACCTGCCTAGACTGAACCAGTCACTGTAGTCACCATGTGCCCATTGGTTAGGGCTGAATTTCATGCTCTACCATTGAGCCAGGGATGGAGCCTTGTCCAAAACCCTGGAGCTGAGTGGGAAAGGGTGAAAGATTTTAATGATTGCCCTAGGATTTATAACACACATCTTTAATTAATCGGTTTGTTTGCCTTCAAATAATATCCTGCTTCATGTAATCTAAAGACCTTACAACAGTAAATTCCCATTTCCTTCCTCCTATTCTTGTTATCATACTTCTATTTTCATCTCAAATCCCTTCTTTCCCCCATCTCTTCCCATTGCTTGCCCCACCCCACACTTGCAGACAAACACTTAACTATATTTTGTGGATATAGTTTGCATTTTCTAGAATTTTAAATGGATGGAATCATACAGAATGTAGTCTTTTTGGTATGGCTTCAGTCAACAAAATTATTTTAAGACTAATACATGTTGCTGCATGTATCAAGTTTATTTTTTTATTGCTCAACATTTCATCGTATGATTTTACAATTCGTTTATCCATATGTTATAAACACACAATTCATTGCTAATATTTTTGCTTTAGATCAGGGGTTAGCAAAGGATGGTCCATTCACAAACCAAAACCAGCC